GGCATAATACCAAACTCACTCATTCATCTGTGCATCACTTCCTGGTTTCCTTCCATCTCAAGCTGACACGCCTTGTTATGACTGAAATATAGTTCAACATGGCGTAATACCAAACTCACTCATTCATCTTTGCATCACTTCCTGGTTCCCTCCCATCTCAAGCTGACACGCCTTGTTATGACTCAAATATTGTTCAAAATGGCATAATACCAAACTCACTCATTCATCTTTGCATCACGTCCTGGTTTCCTCCCATCTTAAGCTGACACGCCTTGTTGTGACTGAAATATAGTTCAAAATGGCGTAATACCAAACTCACTCATTCATCTTTGCATCACTTCCTGGTTTCCTCCCATCTCAAGCTGACACGCCTTGTTATGACTCAAATATAGTTCAAAATGGCGTAATACCAAACTCACTCATTCATCTTTGCATCACTTCCTGGTTTCCTCCCATCTCAAGCTGACACGCCTTGTTATGACTGAAATATAGTTCAAAATGGCATAATACCAAACTCACTCATTCATCTGTGCATCACTTCCTGGTTTCTCCCATCCAAGCTGACACGCCTTGTTATGACTCAAAAATATAGTTCAAAATGGCATAATACCAAACTCACTCATTCATCTGTGCATCACTTCCTGGTTTCCTTCCATCTCAAGCTGACACGCCTTGTTATGACTGAAATATAGTTCAAAATGTCATAATACCAAACTCACTCATTCATCTTTGCATCACTTCCTGGTTTCCTCCTATCTCAAGCTGACACGCCTTGTAATGACTGAATATAGTTCAACATGGCGTAATACCAAACTCACTCATTCATCTTTGCATCACTTCCTTGTATCCTGGCTTCCTCCCATCTCAAGCTGAGACGCCTTGTTATGACTCAAATATAGTTCAAAATGGCGTAATACCAAACTCACTCATACATCTGTGCATCACTTCCTGGTTTCCTCCTATCTCAAGCTGACACGTCTTGTTGTGACTCAAATATAGTTCAAAATGGCATAATACCAAACTCACTCATTCATCTGTGCATCACTTCCTGGTTTCCTTCCATCTCAAGCTGACACGCCTTGTTATGACTGAAATATAGTTCAAAATGGCATAATACCAAACTCACTCATTCATCTGTGCATCACTTCCTGGTTTCCTCCTATCTCAAGCTGACACGCCTTGTAATGACTGAATATAGTTCAAAATGGCGTAATACCAAACTCACTCATTCATCTTTGCATCACTTCCTGGCTTCCTCCCATCTCAAGCTGAGACGCCTTGTTATGACTCAAATATAGTTCAAAATGGCGTAATACCAAACTCACTCATTCATCTGTGCATCACTTCCTGGTTTCCTCCTATCTCAAGCTGACACGTCTTGTTGTGACTGAAATATAGTTCAAAATGGCGTAATACCAAACTCACTCATTCATCTGTGCATCACTTCCTGGTTTCCTTCCATCAAGCTGACACGCCTTGTTACGACTGAAATATAGTTCAACATGGCGTAATACCAAACTCACTCATTCATCTTTGCATCTCTTCCTGGTTTCCTCCTATCTTAAGCTGACACGCCTTGTTGTGACTCAAATATAGTTCAAAATGGCGTAATACCAAACTCACTCATTCATCTTTGCATCACTTCCTGGTTTCCTCCCATCTCAAGCTGACTGAAATATAGTTCAAAATGGCATAATACCAAACTCACTCATTCATCTGTGCATCACTTCCTGGTTTCCTCCCATCTCAAGCTGACACGCCTTGTTATGACTGAAATATAGTTCAACATGGCGTAATACCAAACTCACTCATTCATCTTTGCATCACTTCCTGGTTCCCTCCCATCTCAAGCTGACACGCCTTGTTATGACTCAAATATTGTTCAAAATGGCATAATACCAAACTCACTCATTCATCTTTGCATCACGTCCTGGTTTCCTCCCATCTTAAGCTGACACGCCTTGTTGTGACTGAAATATAGTTCAAAATGGCGTAATACCAAACTCACTCATTCATCTGTGCATCACTTCCTGGTTTCCTCCCATCTCAAGTTGACACGCCTTGTTATGACTCAAATATACTTCAAAATGGCGTAATACCAAACTCACTCATTCATCTTTGCATCACTTCCTGGTTCCCTCCCATCTCAAGCTGACACGCCTTGTTATGACTCAAATATTGTTCAAAATGGCGTAATACCAAACTCACTCATTCATCTGTGCACCACTTCCTGGTTTTCTCCCATTTCAAGCTGACACGCCTTGTTATGACTGAAATATAGTTCAAAATGGCGTAATACCAAACTCACTCATTCATCTTTGCATCACTTCATGGTTTCCTCCTATCTTAAGCTGACACGCCTTGTTGTGACTCAAATATAGTTCAAAATGGCGTAATACCAAACTCACTCATTCATCTTTGCATCACTTCCTGGTTTCCTCCCATCTCAAGCTGTCTGAAATATAGTTCAAAATGGCATAATACCAAACTCACTCATTCATCTGTGCATCACTTCCTGGTTTCCTTCCATCTCAAGCTGACACGCCTTGTTATGACTGAAATATAGTTCAAAATGGCATAATACCAAACTCACTCATTCATCTTTGCATCACTTCCTGGTTTCCTCCTATCTCAAGCTGACACGCCTTGTAATGACTGAATATAGTTCAACATGGCGTAATACCGAACTCACTCATTCATCTTTGCATCACTTCCTGGCTTCCTCCCATCTCAAGCTGAGACGCCTTGTTATGACTCAAATATAGTTCAAAATGGCGTAATACCAAACTCACTCATACATCTGTGCATCACTTCCGGGTTTCCTCCCATCTCAAGCTGACACGTCTTGTTGTGACTGAAATATAGTTCAAAATGGCATAATACCAAACTCACTCATTCATCTGTGCATCACTTCCTGGTTTCCTTCCATCTCAAGCTGACACGCCTTGTTATGACTGAAATATAGTTCAAAATGGCATAATACCAAACTCACTCATTCATCTGTGCATCACTTCCTGGTTTCCTCCCATCTCAAGCTGACACGCCTTGTAATGACTGAATATAGTTCAACATGGCGTAATACCAAACTCACTCATTCATCTTTGCATCACTTCCTGGCTTCCTCCCATCTCAAGCTGAGACGCCTTGTTATGACTCAAATATAGTTCAAAATGGCGTAATACCAAACTCACTCATTCATCTGTGCATCACTTCCTGGTTTCCTCCCATCTCAAGCTGACACGTCTTGTTGTGACTGAAATATAGTTCAAAATGGCGTAATACCAAACTCACTCATTCATCTGTGCATCACTTCCTGGTTTCCTCCCATCTCAAGCTGACACGCCTTGTTATGACTGAAATATAGTTCAACATGGCGTAATACCAAACTCACTCATTCATCTGTGCATCACTTCCTGGTTTCCTCCCATCTCAAGCTGACACGCCTTGTTATGACTCGAATATAGTTCAAAATGGCGTAATACCAAACTCACTCATTCATCTTTGCATCACTTCCTGGTTTCCTCCCATCTCAAGCTGACTGAAATATATGTTCAAATATAGTTCAAAATGGCGTAATACCAAACTCACTCATTCATCTGTGCATCACTTCCTGGTTTCCTTCCATCTCAAAGCTGACACGCCTTGTTATGACTGAAATATAGTTCAAAATGGCATAATACCAAACTCACTCATTCATCTGTGCATCACTTCCTGGTTTCCTCCCATCTCAAGCTGACACGCCTTGTTATGACTGAAATATAGTTCAACATGGCGTAATACCAAACTCACTCATTCATCTGTGCATCACTTCCTGGTTTCCTCCCATCTCAAGCTGACACGCCTTGTTATGACTGAAATATAGTTCAAAATGGCGTAATACCAAACTCACTCATTCATCTGTGCATCACTTCCTGGTTTCCTCCCATCTCAAGCTGACACGTCTTGTTATGACTGAAATATAGTTCAAAATGGCGTAATACCAAACTCACTCATTCATCTGTGCATCACTTCCTGGTTTCCTCCATCTCAAGCTGACACGCCTTGTTATGACTGAAATATAGTTCAAAATGGCGTAATACCAAACTCACTCATTCATCTGTGCATCACTTCCTGGTTTCCTCCCATCTCAAGCTGACACGCCTTGTTATGACTGAAATATAGTTCAACATGGCGTAATACCAAACTCACTCATTCATCTGTGCATCACTTCCTGGTTTCCTCCCATCTCAAGCTGACACGCCTTGTTATGACTGAAATATAGTTCAAAATGGCGTAATACCAAACTCACTCATTCATCTGTGCATCACTTCCTGGTTTCCTCCCATCTCAAGCTGACACGCCTTGTTATGACTGAAATATAGTTCAACATGGCGTAATACCAAACTCACTCATTCATCTGTGCATCACTTCCTGGTTTCCTCCCATCTCAAGCTGACACGCCTTGTTATGACTGAAATATAGTTCAACATGGCGTAATACCAAACTCACTCATTCATCTGTGCATCACTTCCTGGTTTCCTCCCATCTCAAGCTGACACGCCTTGTTATGACTGAAATATAGTTCAAAATGGCGTAATACCAAACTCACTCATTCATCTGTGCATCACATCCACCCTGTTATCGATATCCGTCTTTAACACTACTCAAGATGTAAAACCTTGGGTTGGAAATAATGGAGCCATCCAGTACCTCATGCATAGAATACATAGTGTCTCCCCACGACTCAGACACTCAAAAGGTGTCGGCAATGTCGCCATCTCTTTGCAAACAGAGTCTGACGCGTATCACCATAATGCCTGAAGCGATCAACAGACCGCCAAGCCAAACGTCCGAAAGGGGTCAGGCAGATTTATGAACGTTATACGTAAACAAAACGTCTATGCGAGAGATGCTTGTGCCAACCATCCGAGGAATGAATTTCTATTTCACATCAGACAACATATAATTAAAAAAAGAACAATTGATGACATCTGAATAAAGGACTCGTGTTATTTTTTTAGATCAGGAAGTTGCGCAGTGAGCTGACGGCAAAGGAGAATGAAGAAAAAGTTAGTATCCATTCACACATATTCACTACGTAAATGGAATTAACTCTTCTGTTCTGTAATGTATCACATAAAAGAGATTCCTACAGCATTCTAAGGATATGATATATAACAAAGCATCAGCATATATGAAGTCAAGAAATGAATACGCATATAAAGATGTATTTATATCAACAGGGAGAAAAGACAAGGTTCAAAAGCTGGAGTTGGAGGTGAGTATGTCCATATTCATGGAGTTAAGTGTTCATTAATCTAAACTTTTACAATGATTTCAAATTAGATGCTCTATAGAGTATCGTCAACAAAAACATAACAGTTCATGGGTATTGAAATCTACAATAGTACAATGATATGTATTTTCATATTATAATCTCATGCATGTTTTGGCGGCATGTGAGAAACAAGAGCTACCACATTTCTGATGCCATATTGGTCAGCTGATGTTTACATACGGTGTTCCAATCTAACCTATCCGAGTAACTAATTTCATCGTGGTGACTCGGTTTTCCGTAACAGTAAGTAGCTGTATAACACAAAACATTAAAGAAGCAAGAAGTGACCCACTTGTCTCGGCATACTAGCATATAACATATGATTACACAAATGCCTGTCGTAGATCAACATGACTTTTGTGTGTCTCAGTGAGTGTCCTGATACAGTGTCACAGGTACATTGCTCAACTGATAATGTATTTCCCTACTGATTTTCCTTGATGTTACACTTTACTTAAGCAAACTGAGAGTTGCTGATGGTATCTATGGAGGATTGTCAGCTACACATTAATTCATTTTTTGAATTTCAGATTGGGAAACTGAAAGTCGAAGTGGAAAAGTTCCAACAACAAACATACGGTATTCAGCTTTTGCTTGCCATTTACCAGAAGTTGAAATCGCATTGTATCTATTGTGTATGCAGTGACTGACGGAATTTGTTATATTTTCAGGTGAACGTGAGGACATACAACACACCGAGAAGAAGGTAAATGAAACTACACCAGTCAGTGCTCCTCGTTACTGACACAATTGGTAATGTAGTTGTTTGGCAGAATACTTTAAGCATTTCATCCTTACTCTCACTAAAACCCCAAACATGTTAACGCGAGCAAGATATCTACTGTTGTGGTATTTGTCTTCTCGTTACCCATAACATAAGAGATTGCCATCAGATACCATCCTTTGTTCAATAAAATCACTTGCAGACAGAGATTCGGCCACACGTTTCTTCATAATAGTAGTGCCATCGACAGCACCATGGAGATGTGGTTTATACCTTAATATTCCTAAGAGACATATTTGGGCATCTTTCATAATGAAAAAATATATAATCTATAAATACATATTTCTCTTAATCCAGGAAACAATATATATTGTTTTCTTTTCTTACTGGCAGTGTGTCAAATATTAATTCATATCTTCTGTATTTCCACTGTGACCTGACAATGGCTGTTAAAGCAGGGGTAGCGTTACAGAAACGTTGATGTCTGGAACCTCAAAACCAGATTCTTTGGCCTCCACAAAAGGGTCTCGTCAGTCATGGCTGGTTCAGTTTACCCCACAAAGGAAGCCGTTCATCGCGCTGACCTGACAGCAGAAATCCAAGTGTAGAACATTGTTGGCGTTCAGTAGAGGGCAGTAGTGTGCTCTATATATAGAATTGTGCCACATTTAGACAGAGTTCTAGAGGTTTCGCCATATTCTGACCCACAGAATATTATGGAGAGATCTGGAAATACAATGTGCTGATTCCAGATTGCTCTACCCTAGAGAGTGTTGTGGAATGTTCTAGCCTGTCACTGATCTTGTGTTATATTACCGTTGTATTTGTACTGTCACTCTATGTTGTACTGCTATAGTGATATCTTTGCATTGATTTGTGTTGACTTTCGGGACTATCTAATCTTATAATACAATTGCTGATTGTATCACATGTCTTTGTTGATTTCAAACCTACTTTCAAGTTAACTGTCTAATTCTAATTTGGAATCAACACGAAGCACCAGCTTTGAAAAGCTATCCCTTTAATTTCATTTTTAGGACAGGATAGATGTTTAAATATGGTACTTGACCTGAACTGAGATTTCACGAAGATCATACACGTCTTGATTTTAAGGACAAGGAGATTCGATTTGCTTATTTCATCTTTAACAACTAGTACAGAAAGCATGTTTGTACCTTTACCTATACACAATGTATTCCTGCTTTCTTTGTGACACACTTTACGTTGTGGTTCCAGAAATGTGAGCTGAAGAAAGAGGTCAAACACCACAACGACGAAATAGCAAGTGAGTAGCAAAGTACATGATAACTCGTTAATTGTCAATTGGAACAAGAATAAAATAACGGTTATACAAGTCCATCCTTTACCAGTTTATATGAGTTTTTAAAATATTTTCAAACTCAGATTATCATGATATATGCACAAAATAGTTGGAATTAAACAGACTACATAATCGCTAAAGTGATGTATATTTGTAAGATCATAACTGCAGTTCTTATCATTTTATACAGGGTTGGACAACGATATACAAGGGCTAAAAGAAAAGGTAATTAATGCATTCTAACAAATATATGTTTTAAAATAACCCAAGGCAACAACAGAGTAACATATTAATTCATATGTTGTCCCATTTTGTTGATTTAATGCCTCGAACACAATAGATAAATTTCATCTGTGATTTTAGTGAGAGTAAGTGTTTGTTTTTTTACAGATTCTGAATGCTGAAAAAGAACTTGGAGTGCTCAAATTAACAACGAAAGGTAGGTTATCGTCGCGGTGTTCTGGCCAGTGATAAGATAGAGCACGGTCCACTGGTTATCGTCGCGGTGTTCTGCCACCAGTGACAAGTTAGATCACGGTCCATGTAAACGTCGCAGGTCGAGGACACTATTGTCGAAGTCTGTAACCACCCCTGCTACTTCAACCACACTTAAAGCCAACAACATGAAGGTCTATGTATCTGGCACATCAGGAGAATAGCTATGGAATATATGTGGTACACATACCCGTCTGTAGATAATCTTCATCCACATCTCGGGTGACACTGTTTTGGCCATTTTCTCAAATGTTTAGCGATTCAGTCTTTCCGCATACTCATAGTGTTATCGAAGATGAGGACCCTCCCCAAGAGTAAACGTATAGCGTATATTGAAAGGATGCTTTATGTGTTTTATTTTAATCTGCAGACACAGCCAATGCCATCCCGGACCTAGAAAAAAAGGTACCTTACATCAACAGTTATATGTATGTATTGTTAAGTCACTGTGAAAAAAATACTTAACAGCGATTAGAAGTGTACCTAAACTTAGCAGAAGATAATAATACAATAAGGGTTCATGTTGTGGTCTACTGACAATGACATATTCAATAGAGATCTGAGGACACCTATGTAAACAGGTCTAACCTCTTCTGTGCGAGTAAGGGAAGAATATCTGGTAAGCATAAGTGATATCCCAGTTAAATGGGACTAACCTTTCTGCAACGTCTGACCATTTGACAAATATAGTGTATTTTGTATGTTCAGACACTGTTGTCTTTCGGACATATCCTTGTTTTAATTGCAGGTGCGGGACCTGGTGCAGGATATGGAACAATATGTCACTGATGTAAAAGGTAGGAACAATTCAAAGATACTGATCTATAATCTAACATAGACAATAGAGCTATGTAAATAGTCGCACGAATTAGACAGAAACCGACTATGAAATATCTGTAAGTTGTTTCACCAAGGATGATAACCTGAGAGAGTGTACATGCAAAATACAAGGAAAATAATTTTGTCTCATTTTACATGTTTTGCTTAATATCATTTTGTATCAATTTGCTGTAGCTGAAAAGGAGAGCATTGCAGTGCTGCACAGACTGGTAAGATTAATACACCTGATTTCCTCAACATTTACACGTGGCTGGTTACTATGACACGTAAAACCACCAAGCAGTGTTGGAAAGGTGGATCCTGCTGCTCAGATGAATGACGTTACAACGCTGACGTAATGTGCTACCTCTCTCTAACTCTTTTATCGAATTACGACAGAGCAAAGAGTTCAACAAAATACACTGTTTCGTACTTAGGTGTTTTGCACAAGATGTGTTTTATATTCTCTTTTTGACTTCAGAAGCTGATGCTCTTATATTAGAGTGCCATTTTATGCGACAGTATATTTATTTTAGAAACGATCAGTTCAAATGTATAATATGTAATATTATTTTGTCTTTAATACTTGTATGTAGCTCCTTTGGTTATATGGTTATACCGTATCTTGGACGTTAACTGCCCGTGTTATCAGTTTCCACCATGGACTTGTGTATTTAGTTTTGTATCTCTATAGAAGAAGAAACCTCAATCTACATATAGGTAAACTATAAATGTCTGTACAGATGTGAATTGTATGTTCAACGATGACTGTTTCAAGTTGTCTCCTTACTAGAGTGTGCAATTGGCGTATTGAAGAGAATGTGTAATTACGTTTGTATTGACTGTTTAGCTATTGAACCAGATTGTTTTGAAAATTCACTTGGCCAACACCATTTAGTTTTATTACATATTGACTCCATTATGATGAAGCTAGTGATATAGAATAACTATCTATGTTTGTCATATGAGGCAATTAACGAGATCGGATGGTCAGACTTGGTTGCTACATGTCAATGTGTCCTATTTGTGGAGATCGATGCTCGTCAAGCTAATCACTTGATTGTCTTGCCCAGACTTTATTGTTTACCAGTGGGGGTTCAACCCCCCTCCCCTTTTGAAAATGACTAAAGACCACATTAAAGTTAATGTTATGCAATGGCAGAGCCAAGGTGGGGTTAAGGGGGTTCGAACTCCTGACACCCCCCACCCCTCTTTGGAAATTTCTGGATCCGCCTATGTTTACCGATCGCTGTCATAGAAGTCGTGGACCCGTGAAGATCCGGGGTAGAATAGGTCTTCAGCAACCCATGTGCTTGCCATAAAAAGGCGACTATCTTGTCGTAAGAGGCGACTAACGGGATCGGGTGGTCAGTTTCGCTGACTTGGTTGTCACATGTCATCGGTTCCCAATTGCGCAGATTGATGCTCATGCTGTTGATCACTGGATTGTCTGGTCCAGACTCGATTATTTACAGACCGCCGCCATATAGCTGGAATATTGCTGAGTGCGGCGTAAAACTAAACTCACTCACTCACTCACTCATAGAAGTCGTGTGTGGCGTCAAACACAGAAATCACAATCGAAATAACTTAGTAAAAGATATCACTTTTTAACAATACTGCCTGTCGCTTACAAGTAAATTCACACGAAGTCAAAGAACATTTCTAATAATAGGCACAATGTATTATGTAAGATTTGTAGTTTGACATAAGTGAGAGGTGGAAGTTTCTTAATACTTTACAAATGAATGAAGAATATCAGAACATAATACTAATGTTGTTACAGATGGAGAAAATTGAAGTCGAGCAAGCAAAACAAAACTCCAATTTGAAGGTATGCAAAATATAATAAAAACACATAAAATAATAACGAACGAATACACATATGTAAGCAAAATGTTTTGTGGTTATTATTCTCGTTGACATGAGCTTTCGTGCTGCACTCGTGCTGCTCTCCCGGCTTAGGAAATAATATCCTCTTCAATACTTATGATATGCACTCTCATTATCTTCAGATGAACAGAGAGAAAAGGAAGAATTAAAAGAAAAGGCAAGTACTACTCCAAATACCTCACCTTATTAATGATGCAAACTCATCCCCATCAGAATATATATACCAGGTGACTGTAGTTATTTTCATCACAAATCAGTCATTACCTCATGTCACCCGAAGGGGCGATATAATCATATGCATTATACCATCGTAGTTATCCATCAACTGTATGGAACTAATCCTGCATGAATGACTTATATCAGTGGTTTCGGAAATATTGGTCGTTGATCAAAAGATCTGGCACAAAAGGCAGGTTTTCTTAAGACCGAGAATAGATGGCATTTAGGTAAAGAAAAACAGAAATCTCATATTGTATTCTGAAGAGGATCCAACATGAAAGTATATATATTTTGTATTGACTGTTTGACTTTTGGAATAGATTTTTTTTTAACATTCCCCAGCCACCACCATTTTAGATTGTATTTTGACGTAAGTAAGAGGTTACTTGACAAATGAACATCATATATCATATATTACTAATGTTGTTACAGATGCAGAATATTGAAGACGAACAACCAAAACAAAACTCCATTTTCAAGGTATGAATAATACATATATATATATATATCAATAAAAGACACGAATATACACTAAACGCCAAAAGAAACGTAACCCTCCTTCCTTAATGACGGAGGTACCTATCTTCAGCTGGCGTTGTGATGCGTGGACGTCCACTTCTTGGTCTCTCTACGGTTACCCTAGTCTGTCTGAAGCCTTATAACCGTGATACGGTGAAATCCGAGGGCGTTGGCAACAGCATTGTACGTCGACCCCATCTGCACCATCCCAATGGCTCTTTCTCTCTCTTCATCTGTTAATCGTGGCATATTTCTCGTATTTGTGTATCATATCATCATTGCTAGGCTCTCTTCATACCCTATAAAATCTTTCTACATGTGAAATGGATGCAAATACTGCTTGAATATTGCTGCGTTTTGGCGATTGATATTGCTATGTGTAAACAGAAAATGGAAAAATGTTACTTTGAACCAAAATGTTAGCAAAGATAAGTTGAGATGTTCCTAAACATTATTTCACAATACCAAAGACACGTTTTACTTGTTTTCACTAGTGCAAATCAGCAGAAAATGTTTTAAAAGACTGAAATTATGGGAATGATTATTTCACAACTTTACACACTCTACAACAGTTGTTTTTGTTCTAATGGTTGAAAAATGGTGACTTGAGTGGTTTATCATTGTCCCAAAGCAGAATTTTATTTCAACCTTTCTTTTGGACATCAAAATCACTGTTATTGAATCATTTTGGCATGGACGAATATAGGACAATTTAATTCTCCTGAAAAAGATGCATTTCACCTAAATATGAATGCATTTGAGAAGTGTTTTTCGTGAATTGCATAAAGCTGTGTTGTTATACCTTCTAACATATCTTTGATAGTTTTTCAGTAATTCATAAAGGTAGGAGGGTAACGTTTCTTTTGGCGTTTAGTGTACATGTGTAACCAAAAAGCTTTTGATTATCCCGTTGATTTAAATGCCTACAATCATCAAAATTATTTTCATTAACATGCTGCTCTATCAAGAGGTTTATCGACAGCTTAGGAAATGAAATCCTCTAAAACAAATGATAATACATACTCATTATCTTCAGATGACCGGAGAGAAAGAGAAGAATTACAGAGACAGGCAAGTACTACCCCAAATACCTCACCTTATTAAAGATGAAAACCTCATATTGTATTTTAAAGACAATCATATTTTGAATTGACGTTTTGGATATTGGAACAGATTGTTTTGAACATTCCCTCGGCCAAAACCATTATAGATTGTATTGCATATGGAACAACTATATCTAAAATATACGACTCGTATGCCTTCAGCAGCCCATGCTTGTCGTAAGAGGCGACTAACGGGATCGGGTGGCCATTCTCGGTTCCCGATTGCTCAGATCGATGCTGATATAGCTGGAAAATTGCTGAGTGCGGCGTAAATTTAAACTCGCTCACTCACTCGAAAATACACAGCATTGGACGTCTGTCTTCCACATGCACTAGGCTGTTGTGTTTGGACGTTTGAATCAAACATGGTGCTGGTGTGTTTCTGTACCCTTGTTTTTCGCTGTTTTTTGACAATGTTTCATTTCACTCAAACTCAACAAATTTTGATTCAGTTGCTTCACTGCATTTTCTAACATGTCGTTTAAAGTGTTAGCCATTAAGCACACAAAAAGTATATATGTGACTATCAAATGTTAGGGTGTTCCCATACCTTTTGTTTGTAGTATATGTAAGTGGGAACCGATCTCGTCTGATTTATACAACAACAAATATTGTTTCCCTTCCCTCTTCAGCAACTCACACAATGATCATATTGTAGGAGGGGTAGTGGTCAAAACATTATCTCAAGAACGGATTCGATTCCCATTTCTTGTCTCACCCTATCGTGTTAATATTGGAAGTGTGCCAAAATTGTCAAATGTTACTCACTCTGTCATTCATGACAGCTGTCAACCAGTCCTGTCCGGTATTACTAGTAAGTCCCTATGGCCCCTAGTATGGTGATCTACCTTCAGTTGTTTGGCAATCTATAGCCTGTTTTACATTGCCTTGTCGTCTGTTGTTAAAATGTTTTAGATTTAATTGCTACTTTTATACTTATGTCTGGGACATACCAGTTGTGTTACCGTCCTTCGTTGACAGGTTGTTTAGAATTTACCTCTAATTATTATTAATCTATAACTTCAAATATGGCTGAAATACTGCTGATGTGACTTAAAATCTGAACTCACCCACTCACTCACCTATTACTATCAATATACAAAACCTACTGTCATGTCTGTGGTTTCACAAGTATCAATTTTCAGCTTAATCTCTCTCTCTCTCTCTCTCTCTCTCTCTCTCTCCCTCAGTCTCTATCTATCTCTCTATCTCTCTCCTCTCTCTCCTCTCCTCTCTCTCCTCTCTCTCCCCTCTCTCTCTCTCTCTCTCTGTCTCTCTCTATCTATCTCCTCTCTCTCCCTCTCTCCCTCTCTCTCTCCCTCTCTCCTTCTGGGCACTCTGGTACCTACTTGAAAGCGTGCAACCTGCTCCCAGTCCCATCATGTAACTCTTTTGTCTTGTCATTCTCTTTCTTGTCACACTGGTGTGCAGACGTACTGTTGACAGGCTTACACTGAATTGAAGATCATCCTGGTAAGGAAGATTCGTCCTGTAACGTCTGTATAAGAAGTCTTGTTCTGCTTTCCGATGCATCACACTGTGCAGCCTGCATAGATTGCATCACACTATGCAGCTGGTAGACGCTGTTGTGCAGACATCTCCATGATGACAGTTTTGCCACCTATCGCAAGGTGGGATCCCGGCGACTATCACACTCCAGGTCCAAGTCATAAGAGACTGGACCTTCATCATGAAAGAAGACCAAGAAGGATCGTCCTGTGAAGAAAGCATACAGATCGAACACCGACTTTGATGTGATGGTTCGAGTCATTTTCCAGCCTGATCTTCCTCAGACCTAGCTTCTGAATCCAGTGAGCGCACCGACCAGGGGTCAGGGAACCCCTTCCCCATCTTCTGCTTATTCTACTTATTTGGACGATGTCTCTACGCGGGAGGGTAGCCTCGACTCGTTGGGTTTGGCGCATATGCTTGGTTGGATTGCCGATAATCTGCAACTGTCCAGAAGCAAGTCGTCACAGGATTTATTATCGTTCTTCTCCCCGAAAGATCTCAATGTATCGATGTTGACTCTACCACCTTGTCTCTGCATCACTCACATGGCGGTGTTTCTCGATTCAGCGTTTAGGAACTTCAAAAGAGTTTGAGAAGGCATCTCCGCCCTGGAGTTTTCCTTAGCAGCGTCACGTACATGGATTCGAGCTGCTGATGACCTCCTCTGTGTCTGAATTTGCAACAACACACCTTTCCTGATTGAGATTAGAGAAGTCATACACCTAGACACGGCCATTAGACGCACATCACTAGATATCAACCTGATCCTATCGACTGCGGAGGCAGTAGCCATGTCCGTGGCTCATGGGGATACTCAGGAGCACGCTCACATTTGGGGAGCCATGTCGGTGATACATGAACAGTTTAGATGGTCCTGGAACAGATCACATATTTCTTAAGATATTTAGGCACCCGTAAAGAGCCACCTCCTCGTGGTGAGTGCTGGGTAACGCTAAGCACTCTTCAACCCCCGTTGTGGACCTGGGGTATATTTGGTCCACCAACTCGTTTGCCGTGGGTTGCGCCCTGTGTCGGTGGAGGACGGGAGTCTTCGCCTGGACGGGTGGTTGAATAGGCCCGATTCAATCAATCGGCTGGTCATGCCAAGCCCTGTGTATATATATTTTGATAAACACGTTTTAGACACTTTGAAAAATGTTTTTGCAATGACTTGGCTTACTTTTATGTATTTGAATTTGAAAATATTTCACTTTTGTAATTTGCCCAGAGTACTAAATCCAGAAGGAGATGGCTCATGGGCCAATCTGGTGGAATTATTAATCTTTTAATTTTTCTGCTGGAGTATATCATCCGAGTAGCCTTGGTGCTGCAAGCTGGAGACCCAATTGTTTTAGCATTGTCCTTGTGATACTCCGTGGTGGGTTGGGAGCTCGGATGATGAACCGTGATCTTCAATCCTAGTCAAACAGAACGTTATCCATAGCCCTGTTTCACTAACTACTAATCTGCAGGCTGTTGCAGTGCGAATTACTTTACATGTTGCGTTTACATTATGCTCTTTATATATCTCTCCGTCTTCAACGTTTCACAAAACCGATCTTCAAGCTCTATATGACCAACCCCCGAAACCTCGTATTATTATGGGAGATTTAAATGACCACAATCCACTCTGGGGTGGTGCAACTACAAACGCGAAAGGTAAACTACTAGAAGACTTTTTCAGATAATGATTTTTGTATTTGTAATGATGGTTCTAACACTTATTTACACCCTGGTACAGGAAGATATTCTGCTCTCGACTTGTCAAGTATAAACTCAGAACTACTGAATGAATTCGAATGGTCAGTCCACGATGACCTCTGTGGAAGTGACCATTTCCCTACTATACTAAAACCTGTAACTCCATCTGATGTACCTCTATCATCAAGGCGGAATTTTAAAAAAAGGCTAACTGGGCTTTATATAAAACACTGTGTGCTGCAAAATTTAAACCTGAACTTTTTATTGACGTTCCTGATGCTATCAAATGTTTTACTGATGAACTGAATACCATATCTGATGAGTGTATACCACAGTCCTCTGCAATTCCAAATATCCGAAAACCATGGTTCAATGATGAGTGCAAACAAGCTAGGAAGGCAAGGAAAAAAGCAGAACATTATTTTCGTGGCCATCCTATGGTGCATAATTTAAATATCAATTTAAAATGTTAAATGCTAAAGCGCGGCGTACTTTTAAACAGAATAAACGCCAATCTTGGCAAAATTATGTATCCAAAAATAAATTCTCGAACTCCCATGTCCAAAGTATGGAACATGGTCCAGAAAATTAAAGGTAAAGGTACTAAATCTAGTGTCCATCATCTTAAACATGGAGATCAATTACTTACTGATAAATCAGATATTGCGAAAAAAACTTGGTGAAACTCTCGTTAAACACTCTTCCTCTTCTTATTATGTGCCTAAATTCCAACAATATGAAAAACATCAAGAAAGGAAAACTATTACTTTCAATTCAGAACATGGGGAAGATTATAATGAAACATTTTCGATTCATGAACTCAATACTGCTCTTGGACAAGCTCACGATACTGCTACAGGGGCTGATAACATACATTATCACCTCCTGAAGTGATACTGCTACAGGGGCTGATAACATACATTATCAACTCCTGAAGCACTTACCAGAATCATGTTTAGAGACGCTCTTACACCTTTTGGATGACATTTGGACATCAGGTAAATTCCCTCCCTCATGGCGTGACGCTATAGTAGTACCAATATCTAAACCTGGACGTGATCATACAGATCCGTCAAATTACCGACCTATTTCACTAACTAGCTGTGTTTGCAAAACCATGGAACGAATGATAAATAATCGACTTGTTTGGTACTTTGGAATAAATAACATATACTTTGTTTCCGTAAAAACAGAAGTACTGTCATCTAGTGCGTTTGGAATCATCTGTTAAAACGCATAAACAACACGCTGTGTCTGTCTTTTTATCTTGAAAAGGCATATGAGACTACGTGGAAATATGGCATTTTAAAGAGATTTACATGGCTTCGGATTGCGAGGGCGTTTGCTTCAATTTATAGCCAAGTTTTTAAATGACAGACAATTTCAAGTCCGCGAGGGGTTCAACCCTGTCTGATCATTACAATCAGGATCAGGGTGTTCCACAAGGCATTTCTTTATCTCTCACACTATTTAGTATAAAGATAAATAGTTTATCAAAGTTTTAAATGATTCACTGGATGGATCGTTATTTCTGGATGATTTTAACATTTATTGTCGTGGTAAAAATATGCATACCATTGAACGGCTACTGCAGTTGTGTTTAAAACAAGATAAATAAATGGTGTCTTGAAAACGGCTTTAAATTGTTTAAATACCAAACTAATTGCATACATTTCTGCCGTAAATACAAAGCACATAAACACCCTGAACTATATCTAGATGGCTCTCCCATCAAAGTTGTCAAGGAGGCCAAGTTCTTAGGGTTAAATTTTTTACTCACACTTAACGTTTCTGCCACATATTAAATCCCTTAAAACTAAATGCCTGAAGGCACTTGACTTGTTGAAAGTCGTTTCAAATTCTAAATGGGGAGGGATCAAGCTACCCTCCTCGATACCCTCTATATTGATCACTGGTCCGTTCCAAACTTGATTATGGCTCCATCATATATGGTGGAGCCTGCAACATCAACCTAACACTTTTAGATTCTGTCCACCACCAAGGCCTGAGACTTTGTCTTGGCTCCTTTAGAACTTCCCTGTTGACAGCCTCTAATGTCGAGGCTGATGAGCCATCTCTTGCACAACGCCGTATAAAATGATCATTACAGTATATTACCAAACTGTCCTCTAAACAAATCTAACCCTGCATATAACTGTGTCTTCAATCCTCTCTATGAGGATTTATACAACAAAAATCTTCTCTTGTTCCGCATCTTGGGCACAAAATTAAGACCTTCATTTCTGCTGCCGGCCTTGAGCTGGAAAATATAGCTCCTTCCCGTCTTCTTTCTTCTCCTCCTTGGCAACTGGTGAGGCCTGAAATTGACCTAACTCTGACAAAGTTTAAGAAATCTGAAACAAATGAGTTACAATATAAACAAGAATATAATCAATTAAAACATAAATTTAATACATACAAATCCTCATTTTACAGATGGGTCCAAGGATGGTGGCGCGGTGGCATGTGCCACTGTCATTGGATCAAGAACAATATCTTCTCGACTACCCAAAAACAGCTCTATTTTCACAGCAGAAGCTAACGCCATCTTGACAGCTCTTAAATATATAAAAAATTACCGTAAACATAAACAATATATCATCTTTTCCGATTCTCTTTCGTGTCTTCAGGCTATTAAAAGTCTTTCTTGCAAACATCCACTTTTATTAGAAATTATTGAATTGTATAATGAACCTGCTACTGGCCAATGCGACATCGTCTTTTGTTGGTTACCCAGCCACGTTGTCATTTCTGGGAATACAATGGCCGATTTTGCTGCTAAGGCAGCACTCAACAAATCTGTGACACCACTTCTTATTCCATACTCTGATTACAAAGCTAGCATTAGAACATACATCCGTGATCTGATGCAGAAGAAGTCAGGACATCCAAGCAGGTATTAATAAATTATATGCAATAAAACCCTATATTGATTACATCTACTTGGGTTGTCAGTCCAGATTTGAAGTGGTCATCATGCGACGATGTCGCATTGGCCATACAAGGTACACACCAATACTTGTTGAAAGGTTAAGATCCTCCGTTTTATATCCCTTGTGATGAGAGAGAGTCACAGTCAAGCATCTCCTGCTTGACTGTGTTGAATCTCCATCATAAGGGATAAATATTTCAATGTTAAAACTGTTAAGGATCTCTTTAATACCGTTCATGTTCATTTAATTCTTTCTTTTTTAAAAGAAATTGATTTAATAAATGAATTTTGATAAATATGTTCTGTAGATATGTGTGTTTTAATAATTGGTAGTTTTGATTAGTAACTTAGATTGTTAGTGGTTGTACCCTCAAAGGGGTTAAAGGGATCGTAAAATTAATGACCCTGAGGAGGGTACGTAAGTCCCAAAACATTCCAATCAATTTCAACTTACCAGGATTTTTAAACGTAGTATTCTTGTAATTTTTACCTTGGCTTACATTTCGTTACAATCGCCAGCGGCTGAAGGGATGATATAAATCCAGCTAGGGTCCATGCAGGTAGCAAAGGCACTGTAAGTCCCCATGGACCCTAGTATGGTGATCTATCTTCAGTTGTTGGTGATCTATAGCCTATTTTTATATTGTGGTGTCCCTATAGTTAAAATGTTTTAGATTCAATTACTAGTTTTACATGTATATCTGTGATATTCTAGTTGTTTTACTGTCCTTCGTCGGCAGGTTTTTCAAATATCTATATATATTCTATTTCAATGTCAAATGTTCTCGTCACGATATAGCTGAAATATTGCCGATGTAACGTTAAATAATAACTCACTCACTCACTCTTAGGATATTTGCTGGCTATCAGGCGACGCGGACCTCCTTATCATACTACGTGGGAAGACCGATATAGATCGGATCTATTTCGTCAACCGTGGTCGAGTGCTATGCTTTTCAACGGAATAATCCATGACCTATCTTTGAAGATGGAGTGAGACGCGCACTTCCAAGTCTCCATGGAGTTGCTGAAACTCCAGAGGCTGCAAGTGCAGGAATATCTACGGCACAGTACATAACGTCAAACCCACATCTGAGAGAGTCTTTTCGGGGCCGGAGCTCCTTTTGCCCCAAGTCCAGAGAACCAGCCAGACCTGCAGCCCAGGGAGAGCATCGCCTTGATCGGTTTCTGCTCGAGCAGCAGGATCGAACAAGCAGTGATACACAGAGACATACGCACGACTGGGGGCGGAAGTTCCCAGTTGTGCGCATGTCCCAATCTGAGTCCCAATTGGTGGAGTCTTTGAATTTGTTGCTCACAACTGGACTTTTCTGAGGATTTGTGCTCACAACTGGATCATCACTTTCTGGAGGAAACAACCCGGTTTGACGAACCTACCCTGCATTGCAGACTGCAGCTGTACAGGCCACTCTAGGTACGTTGTTTGACAAACTAGCGATCGTATCTCTCGGCCTGTCACCCGACACTCCCGGCTTTTACTTGCCAATCTTTCTAATTTACAAAGAAAGATTCGGACAAGCTTCGTCTGATCTTCAACATGACGATTTTCAATGCCAACTCCATCCAGACCCCTCCTCACATCAGAATGATCTTGATAGCTCTATTGCGGACGATCATTAAACCAGGAGATTTCATGATCGGCCTCAACTTGGAAGATGTCACGAATTTTCCAGATCATCTCGGATACCTATGGTTCAACTTCAAGGCATCCACTACCGTCCTCACGTTTGGCATTTCTACGGCCCCGTTGTTGTTTACCCGCATCACGAAGCCCATCGTTCAGTATCTACATCGACGAGTCCATACAGGAAGCAAATGTACTGTAAGTCCCCGTGGTCCCTAGCATGGTGATCTATAGCCTGATTTTATATTGCATTGTCATTTATAGTTAAAATATTTTAGATGTAATTACTAGATATAAATTCATATCTGTGATAATCTAGTTGTTTTACTGTACTTTGCAGACAGGTAAGTATGTTATCTGAATTTGTGTTTATTCATTTCTATATTTACAACTTTCTTAGTCACGATATGGCTGAAATACTGCTGATGTGACTTTAAATATTAACTCACTCACTCACTCATTACATAGACGAGGCATCATATTCGAGGCTTACATTGACCAAGTTACTGCGCCAACTCTTGTGGATCATAAACGTCAAGAAATTGATTCCAACTCAATGATTACAGTTCATCGGGGCCGTATTTGACGCACGACTGGTGAAGATCTTCGTTCCCCATGACAGATGGGACGTCATTCCCCACGACAGATGGGTCAAGATGCTTAGTACCGTTAGCACTGTCTCAACAGAGACATCTTCGACAGTGGCAGGAGCTACTCTGTCTAGAGACATCAGCCCAGGCTCTCACATGCTCGGGTCAACTACAGCTGCACCCGATCCAGATATTTCTACGCCTGTACTCGAGGGTCGACGATCCTCGTGCGCCGACCCCCTACCAACATCGTTACATCATGTATCTTTACTGCTGGCTCGACGTATCGAACGTCTGCGCCTGGGTTTGTTTGATGTCGTTCAACCCCACTCATCATCTGTTCATCCGAGACCATTTTCACGAGAAGCAAATCGCAGGGGCAGAGGTTGTCCAACGATCGTCGTCTTCACATGAACGAACTGTAGTTCAAGGCAACCATTCTCGCCATGATATTGGGCAAAAGATCTTCAATCGAGGAATATCTAACTTAATCAAATTCTTGTAATTTATTCTCAGGTTCTATCTCTTATTTATTTCTCTTTTTCTTTTTATTGATGAATGATAAGTAGTCATACCTCTAATTTCAAGTGGCAACATTTCCCACAATAACTGATCATTAAGTTCATACTTAGTGCCTTCCTCTCCCTGGTTAGGGCTCACATGTTTATTGTTTCCTTACCCATTTTTATATATTTTACGTCATGCAATAGTGAATTATTAAACTTCCAATATCCTTTACACCTTTCCATTTGTGATGAGTTGATTGTAATCGATACTATTGCGTAATCAGAATTAATACTTGGAATAATATCTGTATCAGAGACGGAGTACATTAAATTATTGGAAATCATAAAGAAATCTAAACGAGATTGTTTTAAAGGGGTTGGTCCTCAGCAGCTCTTTTAATAATATGTATATCCGTAAAAATTCACTAATGAGTATACAATTTAATTTATTCTTAGATTCATTGCAACATAGTTACCTTTCTTTTTATCTATTGCAGTCTGTAGAATATCAAAATGAAAATTATTATTGAAGAGGATGGCAGTCCCTCTTGCATTGCTTCTATGATGGCTAAAATATCATTCATTGTAGCCCCATTGCTGTTTAATTAACTGTTCCTGTTCTTTTTGTAAAGTGTACATCTTGAAGACAGAAATTCTGTGCTTTCCTTTTTCTTAAGAATCGGAATACTTGTTTTCTTTTGAAATTATTATCTAGGCCTCCACAATTTAAAGAAGGAACTTCAAACTTTTCTTGATTACCTTTCATGACCAGATATATTGATATTGGATCTAATGTGTGTAGTTCTCTTCACTCAACCTTCACTCAACCTGCAAAACACTACAGATCTATAAGTCTGGGGTTTTCTTTGTGTATCACTAGCTAGTCAGGGTTAACACTACAGATCTATAAGTCTGGGGGTTTCTTTTGTGTATCACTAGCTAGTCAGGGTTAACACTACAGATCTATAAGTCTGGGGTTTCTTTGTGTATCACTAGCTAGTCAGGGTTAACACTACAGATCTATAAGTCTAGGGGTTTCTTTGTGTATCACTAGCTAGTCAGGGTTAACACTACAGATCTATAAGTCTGGGGTTTTCTTTTGTGTATCACTAGCTAGTCAGGGTTAACACTACAGATCTATAAGTCTGGGGTTTTCTTTGTGTATCACTAGCTAGTCAGGGTTAACACTACAGATCTATAAGTCTGGGGTTTTCTTTGTGTATCACTAGCTAGTCAGGGTTAACACTACAGATCTATAAGTCTAGGGTTTTCTTTGTGTATCACTAGTCTAGTCAGGGTTAACACAGGGTTAACACTACAGATCTATAAGTCTGGGGTTTTCTTTGTGTATCACTAGCTAGTCAGGGTTAACACTACAGATCTATAAGTCTGGGGGTTTCTTTGTGTATCACTAGCTAGTCAGGGTTAACACTACAGATCTATAAGTCTGGGGTTTCTTTGTGTATCACTAGCTAGTCAGGGTTAACACTACAGATCTATAAGTCTGGGGTTTTCTTTTGTGTATCACTAGCTAGTCAGGGTTAACACTACAGATCTATAAGTCTGGGGTTTTCTTTTGTGTATCACTAGCTAGTCAGGGTTAACACTACAGATCTATAAGTCTAGGGTTTTCTTTGTGTATATGACTAGCTAGTCAGGGTTAACACTACAGATCTATAAGTCTAGGGGTTTCTTTGTGTATCACTAGCTAGTCAGGGTTAACACTACAGATCTATAAGTCTAGGGTTTTCTTTGTGTATCACTAGCTAGTCAGGGTTAACACTACAGATCTATAAGTCTGGGGTTTTCTTTGTGTATGACTAGCTAGTCAGGGTTAACACTACAGATCTATAAGTCTAGGGGTTTTCTTTTGTGTATCACTAGCTAGTCAGGGTTAACACTACAGATCTATAAGTCTAGGGGTTTCTTTGTGTATCACTAGCTAGTCAGGGTTAACACTACAGATCTATAAGTCTAGGGTTTCTTTGTGTATCACTAGCTAGTCAGGGTTAACACTACAGATCAATAGGTCTAGGGGTTTCTTTTTGTGTATGACTAGCTAGTCAGGGTTAACACTACAGATCTATAAGTCTAGGGGTTTCTTTGTGTATCACTAGCTAGTCAGGGTTAACACTACAGATCTATAAGTCTAGGGGTTCTTTGTGTATCACTAGCTAGTCCGGGTTAACACTACAGATCTATAAGTCTAGGGTTTTCTTTGTGTATGACTAGGTAGTCAGGGTTAACACTACAGATCTATAAGTCTAGGGTTTCTTTTGTGTATCACTAGCTAGTCAGGGTTAACACTACAGATCTATAAGTCTGGGGCTTTCTTTGTATGACTAGCTAGTCAGGGTTAACACTACAGATCTATAAGTCTAGGGTTTTCTTTGTGTATCACTAGCTAGTCAGGGTTAACACTACAGATCTATAAGTCTGGGGTTTTCTTCTGTGTATGACTAGCTAGTCAGGGTTAACACTACAGATCTATAAGTCTAGGGGTTTCTTTGTGTATCACTAGCTAGTCAGGGTTAACACTACAGATCTATAAGTCTGGGGTTTTCTTCTGTGTATCACTAGCTAGTCAGGGTTAACACTACAGATCTATAAGTCTAGGGTTTCTTTGTGTATCACTAGCTAGTCAGGGTTAACACTACAGATCTATAAGTCTGGGGTTTTCTTTGTGTATGACTAGCTAGTCAGGGTTAACACTACAGATCTATAAGTCTAGGGGGTTTCTTTCTGTATCACTAGCTAGTCAGGGTTAACACTACAGATCTATAAGTCTGGGGTTTTTTTTGTGTATGACTAGCTAGTCAGGGTTAACACTACAGATCTATAAGTCTGAGGTTCCCTTAGGTGTATCACCAGCTAGTCAGGGTTAACACTACAGATCTATAAGTCTGGGGGTTTCTTTTGTGTATCACTAGCTAGTCAGGGTTAACACTACAGATCTATAAGTCTGAGGGTTTCTTTGTGTATCACTAGCTAGTCAGGGTTAACACTACAGATCTATAAGTCTAGGGTTTCTTTGTGTATCACTAGCTAGTCAGGGTTAACACTACAGATCTATAAGTCTGGGGTTTTCTTTTGTGTATGACTAGCTAGTCAGGGTAAACACTACAGATCTATAAGTCTGGGGTTTTCTTTTGTGTAATTTACAAAAGATTGAAACACAAAATGTAAGGACATTTAGTAGCTGATTAGAACTTAGAAAACTGAAGTCCAAAGACGTCATTGACTGAAACCGTTAGAATCTTAGAAGATGTGTCCATGTATGAGTGAACGAGCTCCTTAGTGTAAATGATGACATGATTCTTGATTACAGATACAAAACCTACACAAGGTGATCGAGGAAAAGGACAAGGTGATCGAAGAAAAGGACAAGGTGATCGAGGAAAAGGACAAGGATATCAGACAACTCAAAGGTATTTCTTATACGTACAAACTCCACGTTATAAGCGAGACAGTACATGTTTCTAGTTGTCAGATGTGGACATTTCCTAAGATAAACACATGCACGTTTGCCTCTTTGTCAGTCTATGGTTTCCTCTTGAAATTAACAGCATCAATATTTACATGTAACGTAAATGTGTAGTGAATGACAGAGTGTTTATGTAAGTCAAACATAACACTCTATGTCTAAACATGCTGCAAGTTATAAACTACATATGACATTAAAACTGTATTTCTTCCTTTAGATGCAAGGGCAGCGGCGGAGAAAAGGTACATTTCTGTATCATTATGTCTGAAAAATGTACATTTATGTAATAAAGTCTTCAGGTAAATACTTCCCTGTATACTCAAACTCATAGCTAAATACTCCCCTGTATACTCAACCTCTCAGGTAAATACTCCTCTGTATACTCAACATAACAGGTAAATACATCTCTGTATACACAACAAGTCAGGTAATACCCTCTGTATACTCAAACTCATAGGTAAATACTCCCCCTGTATACTCAACCTCTCAGACAAATTACTCCTCTGTATACTCAACATGACAGATTAATACTCCTCTGTATACACATGTCAGGTAAATACTTCTCTGTACACTCAACCTCTCAGATGTATACTCCTCTTTATACTCAACCTCTCAGGTAAATACTCCTCTGTATACTCAACATCACAGGTAAATACTCTTCTATATACTCAACATGACAGGTAAATACTCCTCTGTTTAACCAATATGACAGGTAAACACTCCTCTCTATACTCAACATGTCAGGTAAATACTTCCCTGAATACTAAGCATGTCAGGTAAATACTCATCTATATACTCACATGCCAGGTAAATTTTCCTCTGATACTCTTTATGTCAGGTAAATACTCCTCTGTATACTCAAAATGACAGATAAACACTCCTATGTATACTCAACATGTCAAGTAAATACTCCTTTGTATACTCAACATGACAAGTAAATACTCGTCTGTATACTCAATATGACAGGTAAATACTGTCTGTATCCTCAACATGACAGGTAAATACTCCTCTGTATGCACAACATATCGGGTAAATACACCTCCGTATGCTCAACCTGTCAGGTAATTACACTCCTCTGGGTACTCAACCTCTCAGATAAATGCCCCTTTTATTCTCAAGCTGTAAATATGCATCAGGAAATTGCTTGTTTTAGACTCAATGTGTTACCAAGACGAGTACGGTCCAAACTAGGAACCATAACATCCAGTTGGGCTAAACTAACCTTGTATCATTACAGGTACAGGAACCTCGGGATGCAGTGCAGGAGAAAAAACACCCAGTACAAACACGGAAGGGAAGAAAGAAAGAAAGTAGATCTATCTAACTGGTTTAGAAGTTTCTTCTTTGGTTAGTTACTCTATCATCTATTTTGCGGGAAAACATTCTGTTCTCATTCAGAAACAATGTTTTCTTGTATGACAGTTATCGAAAACGTATATATGTTACAGGAAATGTATAATCAGTAAATATGCATAAGTACTGAAATTATTATGTATAATGTCGGATTCACTCAGGAATTATGTATATTTTCATGAATTTCTATTTCATTGTGTTCATGAATTTTTATTTGAACACCTGTTGAGTGACACAACAGTGAATCTTTGCCTTGTAGCACTTGCAGCGATTGAAAAAACAATGTTATACATATTTGCTGATATTATTTGAATTACTGAAATATTGATAATACTTTTAAAGTCGTCACGATATGGCTGAAATATTGCCGATGTGACGCTAAATAATAACTCACTCACTCACTTTTTAAAGTCAGTCAGGTTTTCATAGATATGTCTTCTTATTGTATATAAAATACAAAGGTTGAGCAGGATCAAAGATTGAGCGTAGTTCAGTCACAACATAATTATACTTGATTATTATACCTGAAAACACGGTATTCATTAAAAGCCTCTGAGGTCGCTGACGGGAAGATATGGACAATACTAATACCCTTCTTCGAACAATAAAGGGTTTCAAGCATCTGTAGTAAAAAATACATGTTAAATTATTGAAAACACTGTCTACGAATACAATACAGCAGGGTCAAAGGTTACGTGCACTACCGTCACAACATAATTTGAGTAATTATTGAAAACAAATTAACATAAATAGCACCAGACCAGTACAAATATTGGTGAATTTAGATCTGTTTCACTTTCCAAACATGGATAACGAGAAGCTCTTCCGAGAAGGACTTTTCAAGATTTATGAGACGAACGTGTTCTGATACCAGAGGAAGAATACTACAAGATCATCAGCGACCTCCTAGAAGCATCCAAAACCTCCAAAAAGACTCCTCATCAGTACTATCTTCTTGAGTCGTATGAAGTTCTTCAGCGTAGTGACATTTACAGAACGAAGAAGAAACATCCCTGTGCTTCATTTCCATAGAAGAGACCTATGAAGTTGTCAAACAGGGTCACATTGCGACGGGGCCATCAGGGACGGAACAAAATCGTTCATGGACTGTCCAAGAAGTACGCAAACATAGCCATTGAAGATTTTACCCTCATCAAAAACTTTGGTGTTGAATGCCAGCGGAAGCGTAAGAGAGCTACAACAAAAGGGGACCGTAGTAAAGCCAATCATCCCCAAACACTTCAACTCCAGAGCACGAGTCCATCTTATCGACATGCAATCCATGACTCAAGGACAGTTCAAATGGATCATGGTGTACCAAGACCATCTGACTAAGTTTTGTGTATTGCGCCCCTAACCTCCAAACGCGCAGCAGAAGTGACGTATCATCTTCTTGACATCTTCCTCCTCTTAGGTGACCCATGCGTTCTTCAAAGTGGCAATGGATCTGAATTTACTGCCCAGGTTATTTCTTAGCTGAAGATTATGTGGCCAGGATTGGTGATGGTACTTGGAAAACCAAGACACCCCCAAAGTACGGGTTATGTAGAAAGGGCAAATTGTGACATGAAGGATATGCCTGCTGCTTAGATTGGTGATAATGATACAAGGGATTGGACAGTGGGACTAAAGTTCGTTCATCCTACTGAAGAGATCATCTCCTAACTTAACACTACAGCGTCACAATCTTCAATAGTTGAACATACACAGTGCCCCACTGATGAACTAGAAACTTCAGAAGAAACAATCAACTAGATGCCATTTCATCCAACCAAGAAACAATTCAGCTGCAGAGGAAAAGAGCATGTGAAGCTCAAACTGAACAGGCAGAGCCTGAGGCACAGAGGAGCAAGCCGTGTTCTCACGCATGTCCAAGTAGGAGATAAAGTAGCTGTGCACATTCCCAATGTTGATAGAGGCCGACCCATGGAATATGATGGTGTAACTGAGTGCAGGGACAGCGAAATATGTACTATAGCAGTGAAAAGTGGCGTGCTCGATAGGAAGTATGCTCGTAACCAGTTCGACGTGTGTGCTACAAGACTGTACTCAGCAAATGAATTCAAAACCGTTTCCCTTCGGCAAGCTGTTCACCAACACTCTTACTGTTGTGGACAAGGTTTCACAAATGCAACTGTGCATCCACCTTTACGCTGATGCCACAGTTGTATTCAGTGTGCGAAATAGTTTCCATGTTTTGCTAGCCAGTCAGGCCAGCAATGCCTAAAAGTTACTTGCCCACAAAATAATTCACTAGCCCGAAATTTGAATGTAGAAACTAAGCAATGATTACAGAAAGGTACATGCGTTTGAGAATAACATATTGTCGGCATGACACGGGTTTCATCATTAAGCTGCTCATATGATGAGCATTTTGTAAGGTCATATAAAAGTGTATTATAACTTAACAAGTCGGAGAGAATGACATATTTACAAATGTCCCCATTAAAATTCAGTGATTGTGGAGACTTACTGGCGGGCCCGTGGCTATTTCGCACACTCTTTGTATCTGTCCCTCAAGCCAACTTGTCGCCTGTCTTCCACTAGAGCATTTGTGCAAATTGAGAACTGCGTACAGGCAATCAAGCATTGGATGACAACACACTAGCTGAAGCTGAATGGAGGGAAAACAGAAGTTCCCATCATTACCTCAAAGCGAGTTACTGAACAACTTCATCTACCAGACCTCCACATTGATGGTCATATCCTTGTCCCAAGTCCTGAGGCTAGAAACCTTGGTGTTATTTTTACTCCCACTTATCTCTGGATGCTAATACTAAGTCAGTTTGCAGCAAGTCATTCTACCACTTACGGAACATCTCGCAAATCCGGTGCTATCTTGATGAGAGGACAACCTGTTCATTGATCCATGCGAATATTTCATCTCGGATGGACTACTGCAACTGTCTACTCTATGGCCTACCTCAATCCTAAATAGGGAATCTCCAACGCGTACAGAATTTTGCTGCTAGATTTGTCTCCAGATCACAGAAATACTCTCACATAACTCCTGTTCTGCAGAGATTACACTGGCTTCCCACTTCAGACAGAATCCAATACAAACTCAACTTTTTTGTTTTCAAGTGTCTCAATCACTGAGGCTAGAAAGTATCTATCTGACCTGATCACCAGATATCAGCCCCACCGAAGTCTCCCTCTGAAAATCTTGGTCTTCTTGTTGTCCCACACTTTAGGTCCAGTACGAGGTTTGGGGATCGATCATTTCAGATGGCAGGACCCACTTTCTGGAATCAACTTCCACTGAGTTGAGGACAATTAATAACCTGAAGATTTTCAAATCCTAACTGAAGACATACCTTTTTAAGAAGACATACAGTGTCCACCTTTCATTCTTGAGTTGAGCGCTACTGAGCAGTACTATTGGACTGGAATTGGCGCTATATAAATGTTTTTATGATGACGATTCATTCCTGAGTGAATCAGACATTATACATAATTACTGAAATTGTCAGTAATTGGCAACATATTTACTGATTATACATATTTCCTGTAGCATATCCACAGCGGTGTATACTCAGTATGGTCACACTACCTAACAAACCTTCAATGAAGACTGAAATTAAATCCTCACAGCTTCTATTGACAGCACTATACAAGTATAATGACCGACTGTGATATTATCTCTTCACAACTTGTATTGACATAGCACTATACAAGTATAATGACCGACTGTGATATTATCTCTTCACAACTTGTATTGACATAGCACTATACAAGTATAATGACCGACTGTGATATTATCTCTTCACAACTTGTATTGACATAGCACTATACAAGTATAATGACCGACTGTGATATTATCTCTTCACAACTTGTATTGACATAGCACTATACAAGTATAATGACCGACTGTGATATTATCTCTTCACAACTTGTAATGACATAGCACTATACAAATATAATGACCGACTGTGAAATTATCTCTTCACAACTTGTATTGACAGCACTATACAAGTATAATGACCGACTGTGATATTATCTCTTCACAACTTGTATTGACATAGCACTATACAAGTATAATGACCGACTGTGATATTATCTCTTCACAACTTGTATTGACATAGCACTATACAAGTATAATGACCGACTGTGATATTATCTCCTCACAACTTGTATTGACATAGCACTATACAAGTATAATGACCGACTGTGATATTATCTCCTCACAACTTGTATTGACAGCACTATACAAGTATAATGACCGACTGTGATATTATCTCTTCACAACTTGTATTGACATAGCACTATACAAATTATAATGACCGACTGTGAAATTATCTCTCCACAACTTGTATTGACGTAGCACTATACCGACTGTGATATTATCTCTTCACAACTTGTATTGACATAGCACTATACAAGTATAATGACCGACTGTGATATTATCTCTTCACAACTTGTATTGACAGCACTATACAAGTATAATGACCGACTGTGATATTATCTCTTCACAACTTGTATTGACATAGCACTATGGAAGTATAATGACCGACTGTGATATTATCTCTTCACAACTTGTATTGACATAGCACTATACAAGTATAATGACTGTGATATTATCTCCTCACAAAATAAAAGTACAAGTACAAAAGCAGTTCTTGCAGGATTTGTTGAGAAATGTAAGGTTAATCTTATGGAGCCACGGTGGCTTTCTGGTGTAAGGGAGATAACCCCACAATATGGGGGATGGGAAGGAGACTTATGACTGTCAACACAGCTTGTTCGCCAGCCTTTTCACCCAACCAACCCACCACAGGGCGATCATATAGATTGTCCTTTTAACGCACGTCCAAATATGCCGAGAAATTATTCGTTTTTCTGTTAATACCTGAAGTAAAATATAGATTACAACAGATAATATAGATCTAGTAGAATAATTAAAACCAACATCGACTCATAGTGCAACTGATATTTAGGAAAAGTATGTAGTCATCAGTAAACAGAGTAATGTCAAAGTACTTTTAAAATGTTAGATCAACCCGGCAACGATTATGTCAAGTCTCACATTTCCGGCACGTTTTGGTCAGTCACAAATAACAAACAGCTGCTCGCTGGCCACTGCCGCGAACTTGCATCTATCTGTCAAGTTACGTCATGTTGTGACGTCATATATCGAGCACTGGGTCATAACACGGCAGGTTTTCGGAGAGGCAGAAGTGCGGGGAACGTGAATCTTGTATGAGATGTAATGTCAGGGTAAGTGAACTGAAAATGTGGAGGCAGTCATTATAAACATGGGGTATTGTTTCGTTTGTATGTCGCCATATCTGTTAAGTTTCATCAAAATCTATAAGATGTTATTTCAACACGTGTAAATACTACGGCAAATGTGTATGTTTACCACCCTGGCTGCCGAGGCTATTTTTCTGAGGCACATTTGTTGTCTTCTAAAATGTGAACGTTGTACAGAAGTTGAAGTCGCGAAGCACTGGGTCTGAATTGAGATGTGGGTTTGTGCAGAGATAGAGACTATTGAATTATGTTCTGGTGTACAGTGCATGTTTTGAAACACATATGTCGTCACTTGATGTGTTTGTTTTTGTATAAATGACTAGGTGTAGACCTTTGCTGTTGTCGTTACGCAAAACTTAAACATTGACATAACCGTCACACAGCTTGTCATGAAACGTGGTGTGATGTTAACGATGTAACTTGCTTGGAAACTATAAACCTACGTGACGGTAAACTTGGAGCACTTGCAGTAATACTGAATGAGATCGGTGTATCTACATGGAAACCTGGGTGCCGTTGTACAAAACCTTACCTTTACAATCGCTAGTCCATGAAAGTATCGGTAGTCCATGTTAAAGTATGACTATTGGACTTAAGGTATGGGACTTACTATCACCTTAGCGCTATGACAATCGCTGGTCCATGTTAAGGTATATGACTTACTATCACCTAAGCGTTATGGCAATCCCTGGTCCCTGTTAAGGTATGGGACTTACTATCACCTTAGCGCTAAGGTTGTTTCGTACAACAGAACCCACCGTGTTACTCTACTATTACAAAGCGGCAAATGACAAAACAACATTCTTGAACCATTCATGGGACATAAGTATTCGTTAGTCGGCAAAATTCTCATAGACTTGCATGCTATTTTAGTGTAGCTGTAATAATTGTCATCAATTCAGTTTTCGTTATGTTGTTGTCAAACTTTGCAGGTTGTTAGGAAACCATCTTGGTCACAGGTACATAATTTCCATGTAATGTTCCTTCAAGTATTTTCTGCATTGTAGTTACAATGACACAACAGCGTATTTTTCCCCATAGACGCCATGTTAAACATTGTCATAAGCATGACGCATCAATCAAAATGTGGTCATTCTTGAAATACTGAATGGAAAAATAGAATGGAAATTATGTCTTTGCAGCTGAAATGATTCATGACACATGTGCAAAATATATACAAGATTAAACGAAAAATAAATTCCAGACATTTTTTCTAGCTGCTCTAAATTGACATGTAGAACTGATGTAAATCTCTGGAAATTATGCACAGTGAAGAATACTTATGTCCAATGTCTCAAAATAATTATATCATCACCAGCCTATTCCATTTTATAAGATCATTAAATCTGTATTCAAACTAATTGTATCCAAATGTATTTACCAAGGTGAGTATGTATTGATAGCTGTTAGGGGCCTGGTGGAACAGATTGAGACCATTCTCTGTTAGAATGTAGATCTAGATTATAAAGTCCAATATTCTAAGCATCATATTGTCTGCTCCAGAGGGAGGTGACTTGAAGACAGGGACCTATCAACAAGCCGGGGATGAAGCTGAACAACATGGAGGTAAAACTGGAGACTGTGTGAACATTGTGTTTTCTACAGTGCAGTAAGAGGGATAAAATCAGTTAACGAACAGTGTCCCAACTATATTACCTTTGAGCGCATCCTTTAAGATTAGACTCACTGACTCAGGCTGGTATACATACTTATATCTGATTGTTATAGCAGCAGATCCATGAATGTAGGTGTAGGTCCGGTTGTTAAACCAGCTGAATGTATTGTATGGAATATGTTATGTTTAGTAGTAGACCTGTACATAACCAGTAGTATGGAATATAAACCAACATCAACTGAATGTAATGTATGGAATATGTTATGTTTAGTAGTAGACCTGTACATAACCAGTAGTATATTGTATGTATGTAGATCTGATACTAAACCGTCAACTGAATGTATTGTATAGAGCTAGTACTTCAACATGACAGAATATAAAGATCGAGTACAACAAAAAAACCTGGATATAATGTATAGGTCTTGTGCATATATTTGTACCACAAAAAACTAGCATCCAAGTATATCTACATTGGCAGTGAGAATATACACACATGTTTTATTGTTACTAACTCCAATTCTAAACTGCAGATATTTCATATATAATACTAAACACAAACTGAATATAATGTATGGAACTACTGTGTGTCGTTTCTGAAACCTAACTGTTTTTCTTCAGCCTCGAGTGACGTGGAGGAGATGGGGACCACCGCCACAGTGAGAGCAGCTGACGATAGTGTTCCACATCAAGGAGGTGAGAGCAGTAGGCAGGACTGTGGTACTGGAATGTCACGCCAGTGTCAACACTTGTATCACAGATCAGGATAAGTTATTGTTCCACATCAAGGAGGTGAGAGCAGTAGGCAGGACTGTGGTACTGGAATGTCACGCCAGTGTCAACACTTGTATCACAGATCAGGATAAGTTATTGTTCCACGTCAAGGAGGTGAGAGCAGTAGGCAGGACTGTGGTACTGGAATGTCACGCCAGTGTCAACACTTGTATCACAGATCAGGATAAGTTATTGTGAAGGAGTTGAAACAGTAAATACAGAATGTGAAATGTGTTTTCATTCACTAGATAAGCACTGTTCCAGACGTTACAAAATGTACAAAATTGAAACCCTGACATTCGATCCACATATATTAGATACAATGTACAAGTATTTGCTGTATTGTATTGATAGACAGTGACATCACGTGTACAATGTACAAGTTTCTGTTACAGTGACACAGAAAGACTCCAACCCCACCATGTCGACGGCCTCCTTGATGCCTGCCTTGTTGGGAACATGGCCGAGGTGAAGCGCGTGTCCTGGATCTGGGACAGGTGGACATCAACTGTAGAGGAGGACTGTGGAACCAGACACCGGTGATGGAGGCAGCAGGGTGGGGACACAGAGAGGTGGTGGAGCTGCTACTGAATAGAGGAGCTGATGTGTCACTGGTGGACAAGCACCGTAACAACATCCTTCACAGGGCCTGTGAGGGGAGGACACGTGGGGACGGTGGAGTTGATACTGTCCCTGGACGGGGTGGACGTCAACTGTAGAGGATGGAGGAGCCAGACACCGGTGATGGCGGCAGCACTGGAGGGACACAGAGAGGTGGTGGAGCTGCTACTGAGTAGAGGAGCTGATGTGTCACTGGTGGACGAGGACGGTAACAACATCCTTCACTACGCCTGTATGGGAGGAGATGTGGGGACGGTGGAGTTGATACTGTCCCTGGACGTGGTGGACGTCAACGCCAGGAACAACGACGGGGAGACAGCGGCCGACAGGGCGAGAGTCGAGGGACATCATCAACTGGCGGATCTCGTGTCACGTGCTGCTCGGTGAAGTCGTGTGATGTGGTGCAGACAGTGATGATGCTGTTACTGACACTGACGTGGTGTGTGCCGTTCACGTCGTCGTATTTACATTGTGGGACCAAGTTTAGAATTATTGTTGTGTTTGAGGAGAAATAAAACTTGTTGAAAGCATTTTCAGACATTTTGTCATTTGTTTTCATGTGGATGTTTTCATGATCAGGTAAGAAGATTGTTGGCTGAGTGCAATATTTATATACAACATGAAAGTTGACATAGTGGCGGACATTTATATGTGATTTATGTGACAAACTGAGTCACAGATATGTGACAAACAGACAACAAACTGTTTGTTTACATCTCGATCCACTCTGAGGCCATGTTCGCCTTGCTGACGGGGCGCCAAATGTACAGTGACGGTGACGTCACAATGCCTATGACGTCATGGCTGTTACCCAGCTGACAGACAGGGATACGGGAGTTGGGTTTCAGTTTGTTACAATGAACGTATTTCTCCCGAGATTGTTTTCATGATTTGTGACATCAGGTAATTAGACAATAACTAACGAGTGACGGGGAATGACAGACCATCTTTCCCGAGTTATATCAATTACGCAATTAAGCCTTGGCAAAGGACAAGATAAAGTACACTCATCTATATATTTACAATCTGGGCCTTCGTTCACAAATTTGTTTTCATGATTTGTAAACATTACAGTAAATGTGAACAAGTCAAAGAATCCATCTATATATTTACAAGCTGGTTGGTACTCGTGCCAGTGTGTGGTCAACCGCAGCTTCAACGTAGAAGACTTGTACATGTGAGCAGTTATACTGACATCGGAGTCAGAGAGGTCGCACATCGGGTTTTCTATTCATACCTCAATGAACCGGGGAAAACAAAGTCAATCCTTAATTAAATTTATAATTCCTAATCCACATGCAATCCGCGTTATCAAGAAAAATACATATACGAATATTTAACACACCAGAGAAAATATATAGTGTTATACAAATGAGTCTTGTTTACGTCAGCTGGCTGTCTACCGCTCAGTGCCGCAATGTGATGACGTCGCGTGTTTCAAATTTATACATTGTATACAGAGTTACAACGTTATTATTTCAGCACAGTGTAACCAAATTGTAACCACCGTGTAACATTCAGCTTGAATCGATTGTTTTCAAACAGCTTCTTACGTCAACAAATTCTAAATGTATATCTGCCTCGCCATCGGTGAAAGTGTCGATATTCTAAGTTCGCTACTTTTCCACATAAATCGTTATACCGAAGCCTTCGAATGTGTTAAGTAAGCACCCTTGTTTGAAATCTCGATATCCACAAATTCATACCTTTGTGTCATGGAGTAAACTATTTCAATAAGTTTCTTTAAAACTTCATTTATTCAAAGGACATAATTGTTTCAGCATGTACACAGTACACCGATATTTTATCCCCTTTGTCTGTTTGATGTGTTCAGTAAATATTGGTGTATACCCTCTTATCATAAATCCTCCTCCGGGCAGAACCCATAATTCTAAATGCTATCAGTAAATGTCAGTTAACACCTCCCCACGTCGGCGAATCTTACCTGTGTACATGTGCATAGGCCAGTGACCTTACAGAACGTGGCGTAATGTCTCTCTGTATAAAACCTGACTGACATGATCAGTGAGGAGACGGTCTCCAGTCTTGAAGACAGGCACAGATGATCGACAGGAGCGGACGTGTTGTGCGGCTAGTCAAGGCTCACCCAAACATCTTCGACATCGTGCCGTTCCTGTCACGAGAACAGACCAACAGGGAAAACATGCTGATCCAGTACGCTGCTGACCAGAAGCGTCCGTCCAAGAAGAAGAAATACATGGACTTGGAGAGACGACTGGATGACATCAGTCACCAGCTCGGACAAGGAACACTGTCGGTGAGACAGTTTTCTGATTCAGCATTCCACCTATTGCATTTGGGTTAAAATCTATGGATCAATCTCTGTGAAAAATGTTTGCTATATGTAGGCAGTTGCCTATTTCGGACTTTTTTAATTTAAAACCTTCTGATGTTAATTACATAAAGGCTTGGCTTTTATATCGTGTGATAACCATGACTGGCTATGCCAGCGGTGGAATGATAGAGGGCTCATTAACGGCAACAAACTTAGAACATATAGACTCTTTCAGAACTCACTTGATACTGAACCATATCCTCAACTTATAATATACCGATCTCATAGAAGCTTGCTCATGGCCAAATTACGTACGGGTACTTTATTCCTTGAAATGGAGACTGGGAGATTCTCACGACCGATTGTCCCTTTGGACGAAAGGATTTGTAAAATGTGCAACTCTATAGTAATCGAAGACGAAATCCACTTTCTAACTGTATGCAATTTTAATTCCTATTTAAGATACAATCTATGGAAATACGTTATCTCCTTGGAGCCCTACTTCCCGAACTTTTCTCCACTGCAACAAACCTGCTATCTAATGAAAACTCCCTGTGTTAGTAAATCCTAGCCGCCCTGGTCTATAGAATGTACAGGCGACGGAAACTGTATATCAACTGTTAGTTACCTTTCATCCTCCTGTTAATATGTACTGTTGAATATGTATGTGGGTGTGTATATTTAAGCACGTCAGTGTGGTTTACCATTCACCCATATTACCTGTTGTGTTCAAAACATGTCATGCTGTGTCTCAGGATGACCGCAGTATGTGTGTATGTTCGCGTGCGTGTGTGTATATATGTAGGTGTGTTCATGTATGTATCTGTCTGTATGAATGTACGTACGTAAATTTCTAAACTATTTTATTCACTTTTATATTTAAAAATATATCCACATATATTCAAGTAATTTAGTGTCTCGTAGGCCAATTGGCCGGGTGCTGTTTAGTGTATTATTATTATGACCTTCTTCTTCTTCTTCTGTACCCTGAATACGCATCAGATATGCGATGTATTTACTAAAAATGTCACGTATTTACTTATGTGAATTATTGTAGCAAAACGTTAACATCTGTCAACTGAGTTTGTTGATGAGTGCTTCCAGTATGGAAATATACTGATAAAAATATAAACTGTGGTTGTCTTCTCATCGGGTGTGTTCTCATCCACAATACCGCGCTAGCCCAGCCTCACGTTCACGTTGAACATCTGTGACAGAAGAATTGTTTATCTCCCAAAGGATTGTTGACAAGTCTTTTTTTATCCAATATGAGAGGTTCACACCTGTGAAGAGTTATACATTGAGAGGTTACACACCTGTGAAGAGTTATGCATTGAGAGGTTACACACCTGTCTGGAGGTATACATTGAGTGGTTACACATCCGTCTGGAGTTATGCATTGAGAGGTTACACACCTGTCTGGAGGTATACATTGAGTGGTTACACATCCGTCTGGAGTTATACATTGAGAGGTTACACACCTGTCTGGATTTATACATTGAGTGGTTACACACCTGTCTGGAGTTATACATTGAGGGGTTACACACCTGTCGGGAGCTATACACTGAGAGGTTACACACCTGTCTGGAGTTATACATTGAGGTTACACATCCGTCTGGAGCTATACATTGAGAAGTTACACATCCGTCTGGAGTTATACATTGAGAGGTTACACACCTGTCTGGAGTTATACATTGAGAGGTTACACATCCGTCGGGAGCTATACATTGAGAGGTTACACACATCCGTCTGGAGCTATACATTGAGAGGTTACACATCCGTCTGGAGTTATACATTGAGAGGTTACACACCTGTCTGGATTTATACATTGAGTGGTTACACACCCGTCTGGAGTTATACATTGAGGGGTTACACACCTGTCGGGAGCTATACATTGAGAGGTTACACACCTGTCTGGAGTTATACATTGAGGAGGTTACACACCTGTCTGGAGTTATACATTGAGAGGTTACACACACCTGTCTGGAGTTATACATTGAGGGGTTACACACCTGTCGGGAGCTATACATTGAGAGGTTACACGCCTGTCGGGAGCTATACATTGAGGGTTACACACCTGTCTGGAGCTATACATTGAGAGGTTACACATCCGTCTGGAGCTATACATTGAGAGGTTACACACCTGTCTGGAGCTATACATTGAGAAGTTACACACCTGTCTGGAGTTATAGGTTGAGTGGTTACACATCCGTCTGGAGTTATATATTGAGTGGTAACACACCTGTCGGGAGTTATACATTGAGAGGTTAATCACCTGTCTGGAGGTATACATTGAGAGGTTACACATCCGTCTGGAGCTATACATTGAGAGGTTACACACCTGTCGGGAGTTATACATTGAGAGGTTACACACCTGTCTGGAGTTATACATTGAGTGGTTACACACCTGTCGGGAGTTATACATTGAGGGGTTACAAACCTGTCGGGAGCTATACATTGAGAAGTTACACACCTGTCTGGAGTTATAGGTTGAGTGGTTACACATCCGTCTGGAGTTATATATTCAGTGGTAACACACCTGTCGGGAGTTATACATTGAGAGGTTACACACCTGTCGGGAGTTATACATTGAGAGGTTACACACCTGTCTGGAGTTATAGGTAGAGAGGTTACACATCCATCTGGAGTTATACATTGAGAGGTTACACACCTGTCGGGAGTTATACATTGAGAGGTTACACACCTGTCGGGGAGTTATACATTGAGAGGTTACACACCTGTCTGGAGTTATAGGTAGAGAGGTTACATCCATCTGGAGTTATACATTGAGAGGTTACACACACCTGTCGGGAGCTATACATTGAGGGAGTTACACACCTGTCTGGCGTTATACGTTGAGAGGTTACACACCTGTCAGGAGTTATACATTGAGAGGTTACACACCTGTCTAGAGTTATACGTTGAGTGGTTACACACCTGTCTGGAGTTATATGTTGAGAGGTTACACATCTGTCTGGAGTTATACAATGACAGCTTGCACTACTGCCAGGGAGTTGACATAGGAAGTTGACGCTCCCTAGCTGTTAGGATTCCAACATTAACTGTTGCAAGACGGACGACACTGACAAGTCACCGATAACTGGGTCACTGGCATGTTTCGAGTTTAGGTGCAAATGTCTTTTCTCACAGATGCCTATATAGTGAGATCTTACACAAGATAAATAGAATACATTAATCACGTATATCAATAGTTTCCTTTGAATGACTAGTGAAGAACAAACCTAATTTCATTCCCAAGATATTCAGTTTGTTTTGTTGTGTGAATAAGGAACACACAGAGACACGGGAAGGTTTAACTCCTTATATTCCTAATTCGGCTTTCTCAAAATTGGACTTCCTAACATGATCAATGTGATAATACCCAGTCAATTAAACCTGACCCTCCATCAGTCGTCACTCACGACAACCATAGGCCTACATTCGGTTGCTAGGGTCCCACGCACCCCTCCATGGAGTCGTCTCTCAGTCTCACAACCCTGAGTCAAGCTTCAACCTTGAATCATCATTGGTTCGAGTACCTGATTTCTATCTGCCCTTACGACAGAATGAGGTGTGTGGCATAATGTGGTGAACTCACGTGAGGTTTACCTGATGCAACACCCTCACGTGCCTCCATGACGACTGACGACACCACCGTTCAGCTTGCAGGATTCGTCTGTTCCGACCACGCCCCTTTGACTTTCTGACATCAATCCGATAAATGCTACCGAAATAACAAATGAATTTGTTTTGTTTTTAAGTTAAATACCTTTAATGCAAATAAGAAGACAAGCCAACGCAAAATAAAGAGAGAAAGCCAGTTTAGTGTACACAGAAACCATGCGTTCATTTCTGAATGAAGTAGCGGGTTTATTGAAGTCTGACAGAGTTGTCTCCCCTTGTTTACTCGCCCTACTTCTCGGGGCAGTGTTTACATTAGATGTGCTATAAGTTGACCTGTCAGTAGGGGACGCCGACACATCGGCCCGCACGCCATGGCGCTCACAATGTACGACAGCGTTCTTCTAGTGCCTCTGGCAGTAATCATTATAGTGTTGACACAGCAGAAGACGAAAACATTCTTGCTGCTGGATGCAAGTTTGGCACTGATTGAGTCGGTAGCCCTAATATTTGCCTCTTCACCATTTACCTACGAGTCTCTGGTAAGTTAGTTTAATTATACGTACGTGACATACTATTCCATGTGAATGTAGCAGCGCCTGGAGTCATCACATAGATGACATCATGAACCTCCTTGGTCAAAACGTCAGTGGTTCGAATCTCTCACGGGACGCGGATATTTTATGGGCGCTACATAAAGTCAACATTACATTCGAGCTAGCCTTGCGCTAGGGGCTGTACTGTACTGTACTGAATGCTAGGCCCATTTATGCATAGTAATTATATCCTTGAAAGTCTAGATATAAGGACCCCAGTCTGTAATTTATATATTTGTTAGAAATTTTGAATTAAACTATTAATTAATATCTTAGATACTTGTGCAAGTCTGTATTCTAGCTGACTTTCGCAACCTCCATTCAAACTAGGCCAAAGGCCACAAGGTACACACAGATGCCAAATTAAGCTTGCCAGTCAAGTTTGATTTCCTTGCACTGTTTCACGTCCAACTTGACTGCAGACAAATAACCTTCTTGTCAACATTGTCCATGTAATTATAGTTTGCAGCTTTTGGTTAGAAGATATGGGGTGTGGGGTGGAAATATGTCCTCACAACCAGCTAGTTGATGATTTGTGGAACCTGTTCTTGTAGAATCCTATAGATGACATCCTAACCATGTCAACTTGGTTTTATAGGGTTAACCTCTTTGGCCATCTGGACGAGGTGTTCAACTTTGGGTCAAGAGGTCTGCATTCTGAACATTGCTTTGTTAGTCGAAACTAATGCCAGAAATAAAGCAAGATGAAATACCTCTTAATGTGTGAGAGATATTTCAGATAAAAGCAATATGCAAATGAGACATAAACAGTGTCAGGTAGTACGGATGGGGTGACATTTAGGGTGATGTTTACTGATGCTGACAATTATTGTTCTGTCTGGTGGCACTGGGTGTGCATGTGTCCGATCAGGTTCCTGACATCCAGTGCAAGTCTGTGTCACAATCTATATATGTGTCTACTATTTCAACTGCAGCTCCGTCCCAACTCGCTGCCTTTCATATTCAGTGTCACAGCTGAAATCAAATATCTTCACATACGAAGCATTAAGCCAGTATGTGGGGCAAAGACTTCTATTTTGTCTAAAACTCTGAGCCAAAAGTATACCGTCAGTACTTCCTAAAGCTAAAATTTGTACAATCTCCTCAAATAATAAAACATCCTCAAATTTGTCTTTAATTTTCAAATTTCTTTCAAATTTCAAAACGTCATAATCTCTTAAATTGCAAAAGCAAAGCAATCAATTGAAAGTATCTATTGATTCAATATTATCAAATCACAAATATATCTATTTTACAAAATTACAAATGACAAAATCTCTATATATTTCTTCATCCATTTTATCCATTGTGTATAACAGTGACAGAGGTTATCTGCCTGTCCATCGTCAACATCGGTTTCAGTCCAGTTCAACGTCTTGACTCAGTTTAACATGTGCTGCAGTTTACATAACGGCCCTGTTTCAGTCCAGTGTACCCTACGATGGTTTACATCACCTCTTGACAGTTCCCTAACACCATTGCTCTATGTCATCTGTTTCAGTCCAGTGTACCCTACGATGGTTTACATCACCTCTTGACAGTTCCCTAACACCATTGCTCTATGTCCCCTGTTTCAGTCCAGTGTGCCCTACGATGGTTTACATCACCTCTTGACAGTTCCCTAACACCATTGCTCTATGTCCCCTGTTTCAGTCCAGTGTACCCTACGATGGCTTACATCATCACTTGACAGTTCCCTAACACCATTGCTCTATGTCTCCTGTTTCAGTCCAGTGTACCCTACGATGGCACATCACCTCTTGACAGTTCCCTAACACCATTGCTCTATGTCTTCTGTTTCAGTCCAGTGTTCCCTACGATGGCTTTACATCATCTCTTGACAGTTCCCTAACACCATTGCTCTATGTCTCCTGTTTCAGTCCAGTGTACCCTACGATGGCTTACATCACCTGCTGAATCAGTTCAACATGTGCTATGGTCTAATGACACCCTTGTTCTATCTCTTCTTTGCCCGCTCGGCTAAAGGCGAAGAAGCTACCTTAGCTCTCCTGGCTGCTCGGACCGTTGTGAGTATCTTGACATTCAAACTTCTTCCCTTCTCTTAGATGATCTCCAGGGTAGAATAGGTCTTCAGCAACCCATGCTTGCCACAAAGGCGACTATGCTTGTCGTAAGAGACGACCAACCGGATCAGGTGGGCAGGCTCGCTGACTTGGTTGACACATGTTATCGGTTCCCAAATGCACAGATCGATGCTCGTGCTGTTGATCACTGGACTGTCTGGTCCAGACTCGATTATTACAGACTGCCGCCATATTGCTGGAATATTGCTGGAATATTGCTGAGTGTGGCGTAAAACTAAACTCACTCACTCACTCACTCACTTAGATGATCTGATTGTTTTAGAGCAGGTGCGTGTTCTCAATGTATTGACAATACACTCACACAGGCTAGGGTCTGTTTGTTTGTTTGTGTTTGTGAAGGATATGTACCTGATCAAGTGTCCTTGCACCAAATGCACATGAAAAAGATTGTTGTAAGATCTATTGGACCTAAAATGTTAAGATGATAAGATTTAGATGATAATTCCTAAATATTTGATTTACACATATCCTAACATTGTAACTGAACATAATATCATATCACATTCTTCCATTATGTTTTTCTAATGATATGTTTCTCTGTTCAGCTAGTCCCACTCGGATGTATCTGGGTAATACAATGAAATCATGAAAACGTTTGTATTTGCACATATAGTAATTACATCGAGACTTACATCTGGTGCATCTTCAGAACACAGATCAAGTGTGTAAACATTAAAAGGCATATCATGTAATGCATTTCAGAAAATATTTTCAAAACAAACAGCATGATTTGAAAACATGCCCCAGCAACTGATCTTTTCAGATAAGCCCACAAACAATCAGGTGTTTCTCTCTGTGTACAGGAACTTGGTCTGATGTTCTTCAACCAGTGTCGGAACCCGCAGATATTCAACGACAGAGTAAGTACCCCCAATGTCATAAGTATACGACATCACTCACCACAGTATGTAACCTCACCGTCTACAGTATACGACATCACTGACCACAGTATACAACCTCACCGTCTACAGTATACAACCCCACTGATCCAAAGTATACAACCTCAAAGTCTACAGTATACAACCCCACTGACCACAGTATACAACCTCACCGTCTACAGTATACAACCCCACTGACCACAGTATACAACCTCAACGTCTACGGTATGCAACCTCACCGTCTACAGTATACAACCTCACTGACCACGGTATACACTGTACCTAGCCCACTGACTCACCATCTACAGTATACAACCCCACTGACCACAGTATACAACCCCATTGACCCTCACAGTATACAACCTCACCATCTACAGTGTACAGCCCACTGACCACGGTATGCAACCTCACCATCTACGGTATACAGCCTCACCATCTACGGTATACAGCCTCACCGTCACCACGGTATGCAACCTCACCATCTACGGTATGCAGCCTCACCGTCTGCTGTGTATAACCCCACTGACCACAGTATGCAATACCTCACCATCTACGGTGCAACCTCACCATCTACGGTATGCAGCCTCACCGTCTTCTGTGTACAGCCCACTGACCACAGTGTACACATGAAGTGGATGCATTATATATCCATGATGTTCCTCTTGTGTACACCCTTGTGGTTCTGTCGATAGCCATGTGGTTTGGTCTGACGGCATTCCATCTCTACCAAAGTGGTGCCGTAGCTTCGAAGTCGGGCCCAGGTCTTTCATCAACAAGTGCCTCAAGGTGACATCGTCATGGAAACCACGTTTGGCACAATTGACATCGTCAGTGCAGCCTTTGTGGGATGGCTGGTTGTAGTGCTGCATCGTGTCCTCAGTCGGTGAAGTCTTAACACAAATTACAGTTTAACAGTTTGACAGTAACACCACCGTCTCATTTGTCATGTGGCGACATGAGAAGCCAACGCACATGCTCTCATGTTTGTCAGTCTGCACGTGTGTGACATTCCTCCATGAGCACATCCTTACAGTGGCCTGTGCTCCGACACCTGTACCTCATTGCCCTGATGGAGTCTATGCCCTTGGTTTCATGCAACCTCGCTGATAAAGGGGTACATCTGTTGCCGTCTCCACAATGTAGGGTGTGTCTCAATCATGTCACATCACTCACTATCCGTGAAGGTCCAGTTTGAAGATAGTATTGACCTTGAGTAACCCATGCTTGTCAGGTAGAGGCATGGGATCGAATCCAGTCAGGCTCGCTGACTTGGTTGACACATGTGTGTCGGTTCGGAATGTGCTGGAATATTGCCGAGCTGTGGCGTAAAACAAAACTAACTCACTCCACTCACTCACTCACTCGCAGCCTCCAACCCTCATCCACTCCACTGCTCACTCCACTCACCCATTCACTCACTCCTCCACCCGCTTTGCCTCATTCCACTCACTCACTTTACCACTTCCTCACTCACTCCACCCACCCACCAACCCACTCCTTTCACTCACTCACTCCTCACTCCACTCACCCACCTTCACTCCCACAGAGCCCACTCACCCACTCCTTACCCATTCACTCACTCACTCCATTCCTCAACTCACTCCACCCACTCCACTCCTCCTCACTCCACCCTCCTCCCTACTCCTCGCTCAACCACTCGTTCAACCACTCAAGCACCCCACTCACTCAATCGCTCACTCAACAGCTCCTGTTGTGTCTCCGCAGTTGCTGCTGGTGCTGGTAGGCTGCTTTGCCTACAGTGTCGTCCACCAGAGGATCATCTTGACCACATTAGACTGGATTCTGTATGTGGTTGGCTTCGTCCAGATAGTCCCCTTCTGACCGGACTCCTGCGAGGTGGAGAGGAGGCCCATCCCAAGCAGGACTAGATGTGGAACGTTGACCTGTGGATGTAGAACAAGTCCCCAGATAATGTATGCATGTGGTGTGTTCTAGCTACATGGACCAGGTCACCAGGCTCACTCTCTTGTATTTCCCACTTTGGATCTGTCTTTATAAATCTTGAATGACATTTGTATTGTCTATGGAGATATGTGTGTAACTGACAAGAGACTAACCAATACTCCCTGGGTGAAGGGGTTGCTCTTTGAAACAAATATCTAACACATAAGGATGAGATACTCCCCAACTTGGCTGCTGGTTGCAGCTAAAGAAGAAAAGTCTCCTACTGCTTCATAAACTGAAGAACAATCATCCCGGCAACTGACCCAGCAGATCTTGTTACAGTTTAGATATTACTGTGATAACAGGCTTGTGAGTCCCCATTAAACCAGCAACACCAAGTCTATAATATTCAATTATCTATTAGATACAACAAGGATGGTTGCAATGAATAACAGGTAATATTGGGTCGCAAATCTAAAATATTAACTAAGTGTCTATAGTTACTTCAGAGTGTTTTCCAAGAGTGTTGATTCCACTTTAGCTTGCTGGCTGAGCTGCTGGCTGATTCCACTTTAGCTGCTGGCTAAGTCCAGTTGATAAGACATTACTCTGAGTCAACAGAATGGGCATCATGTGACCTTCAGCCAGGATACTCTCCTCAGACATTTGGGACTGACTGGGCTACACTGACACCAGGTGTCTAAAGTGGTTGGAGTTACTGTAACATTAAGCACTAAGACAGTCAGTGAGTTGCTGGTGAAATACAGTGATGTTTGAGGTTACACAGAAACAAGGAACTGGAAGTTACATTCCGCAGCTCCATACCATTAACGAATTTCTAGGTTGTCAGGCGAAAACCAATATAACTTCAACCTTTCTCTCAGTTGTCACAGGACCAAGACTTTACTCTGTCGATTCCACCTCAAACTTATGCATTGTCAAATGATTATTTAACTCCTTCCATTCAATATGGTGTTTATGTCATTCATGAAATACCTACCACTGAGCCTGAGGTTTCCTGATCTCTGTATCCTCCCACACATGATACAGCATCTCCACACATCTCTTCATCATATCACGCGTAGTTTCCTGATCTCTGTATCCTCCCACGCATGATACAGCAACTCCACATATATCTTCATCATATCACGTAGTTTCGGCTCTATATGTCTTTGCTTTATAATTGCATAAGTTTGATTTGTGGTGTGAAATTTGAATCTGATCTGTAATGCCACAACTGCCCCTGGACAAATTACTAAGGATAATGGCGGCTTGTTGGCAACTGTCTGGCAACTGTGATTGGCCACTGTCTAAGTAGGATTTGGTTTAGTGATGTTTTCTTGAATACCTTCATTGTTACATTCAGCATAATCGCAACATTAGTGATCCGGGTTTTACTTTGAGGAGTTACCTGAAGGTTTTACCTGAAGGTTTTACCGAGGAGTTACCTGAAAGGTTTTACTGAGGAGTTACCTGAAGGTGTTACCGAGGAAGTTACCTGAAGGTGTTACCGAGGAGTTACCTGAAGGTTTTACCGAGGGAGTTACCTGAAGGTTTTACCGAGGAAGTTACCTGAAGGTTTTACCGAGGAGTTACCTGAAGGTTTTACCGAGGAGTTACCTGAAGGTTTTACCGAGGTGTTACCTGAAGGTTTTGCTCCAACATTACGTGTCCTCATATCCCTGTTGGTTGTCTTGTCCTACAGAGATGCTCCATCAGATGCAGGACACAGACTGTTTGTAATAAACTGTTGTCTGCTTGATGTTGTGTATATTTCAAACTGTCATCTTCAAAGCTTCGTATGCAGCTAAATGCGTTACCTCACTTGGTTGTGCTAGGATCATATGATCATTAGTTTGAATCCACACACAGTAATTGTTCATGTCAGAATTGTGACAATGATCGTGTTTTTGTCAGGACGGTAGACACGTGTGGGTCACTGAGTTATTTTCTCAAACTATAAGCGACAAACCCTTTTCACATCCATAAGAAATCTCGGCTAAAAGCGGAGTCGACTGTACAATGTCGGGTCTGAAACAGACAATCCAGTGATGCATGGGCTACTGAGACAAAACTGAAACACTGCTGACCGCAATGTTCAACTCTTGTCGCAACCCATGTCCCTCTTGGAAGTGAAACGTGATGTGTGTATGTAGGTAAACCCTTGACATAGTCAATAAAGTCACATCTCACATGTTGGAGTATTTCCCGCACTACAAGGCCAGTGAAGACAAGAGAAAATATGGCATGAAAACCAAAACATGTTATTTTGGGGTTAGTTTATTTTAGAATAGGGAGCTGGTTGTAACATACCAATTTATCATTAGATCATCCAAAGTGATAGAAGTTCACCAGTCAGCATCACATCACAAATTTAAATTTTGGAAAATGTACCTCCTACACAACACAAACAACGTACAACTAAGGTCATCTCAGCACTTGGTTTAAGGAAGGTCTGTGTCAGACGCTTCCACACTTTGTCATTTATTTGTAGGTAGAGAATAAGCCATCTCTAGAAATAAAACCAAGGTTGTATTATACAAAAATAATATATTGTATGATCTGTTTTTATTGAGAATGTTGGAGTTCGATTATGGGAAATTACATTTGATGTATATGTTATTTTAACTTTCTGACAATCTCATTTATTTCAATTATGAAAATCAATCTAATTCAAGACATCTTTTGTTATGATGAACTGTTTGCAATGTTTGTTTTATATCATGATGGAACTTGTCAGGGTAATGCGTCCTCTACACGTCAATAGAGGCAGCGGCTGGAACGCCTCTACTCAACAAATATTTTACTTTGTGACCAATCATTATTATCTCCCAAACTATTTTTATACATTATATGAAATATATTTTTAATTGTTGTAGCGTTTGCATGTCGTTTCCTTATCTATATCTATCGTTTTAGTTATATTACATTTTATAGAAAACCTACTTACAATAAATTTATTTTATTATAACATGTTAAAGTCTTTTTCTTTGTCTAGTTGTGTAACCTAGTATCAAGGATACAGAGAGGTAGTCTGAACTGTCAGATGGAGCTGGTCTCTGATCTTTGCTTTGTCAGAACCATGACCATGATGGTGAGGGTGATTCAAGGTGAACTTTACTCACCACTGGTGAGGTTCAACAAAGGTGCGAACATTGTCTTGCCTTACATGCTACTGGTGAGGTTCAACAGAGGTGCGAACATTGTCTTGCCCTACATTCTACTGGTGAGGTTCAACAGAGGTGCGAACATTGTCTTGCCTTACATTCTACTGGTGAGGTTCAACAAAGGTGTGAACATTGTCTTGCCTTACATTCTACTGGTGAGGTTCAACAGAGGTGTGAACATTGTCTTGCCTTACATTCTACTGACGAGGTTCAACAGAGGTGTGAACATTGTCTTGCCTTACATTCTACTGGTGAGGTTTAACAAAGGTGTGAACATTGTCTTGCCTTACATTCTACTGGTGAGGTTCAACAGAGGTTCGAACATTGTCTTGCCTTACCTGCTACTGGTGAGGTGCGAACATTGTCTTGCCTTACCTGCTACTGGTGAGGTTCAACGTAGGTGTGAACATTGTCTTGCCTTACATGCTACTGGTGAGGTTCAACAGAGGTGCGAACATTGTCTCTTGCCTTACCTGCTACTGGTGAGGTGCGAACATTTTCTTGCCTTTACATTCTACTGATGAGGTTCAACAGAGGTGTGAACATTTTCTTGCCTTACATTCTACTGGTGAGGTTCAACAGAGGTGTGAACATTGTCTTGCCTTACATTCTACTGGTGAGGTTCAACAAAGGTGTGAACATTGTCTTGCCTTACATTCTACTGGTGAGGTTCAACAGAGGTTCGAACATTGTCTTGCCTTACCTGCTACTGGTGAGGTGCGAACATTGTCTTGCCTTACATTCTACTGGTGAGGTTCAACAGAGGTGTGAACATTGTCTTGCCTTACATTCTACTAGTGAGGTTCAACAAAGGTGGGAACATTGTCTTCCCTTCCATTCTACTGGGTGAGGTTCAACAGAGGTGCGAACATTGTCTTGCCTTACATGCTACTGGTGAGGTGCGAACATTGTCTTGCCTTACATTCTACTTGTGAGGTTTCAACAAAGGTGCGAACATTGTCTTGCCTTACATGCTACTGGGTGAGGTTCAACAAAGGTGCGAACATTGTCTTGCCCTTTACATTCTACTGGGTGAGGTTCAACAGAGGTGTGAACATGGTCTTGCCTTACCTGCTACTAGTGAGGTTCAACAGAGGTTCGAACATGTTGTCTTACCTTACCTGCTACTGGTGAGGTAGGTGAACGTTGTCTTGCCTTACATTCTACTGGTGAGGTTTCAACAGAGGTTCGAACATTGTCTTGCCTTACCTGCTACTGGTGAGGTGCGAACATGTTGTCTTGCCTTACATTCTACTGGTGAGGGTTAAACAGAGGTGTGAACATTGTCTTGCCTTACATTCTACTGGTGAGGTTCAGCAAATTTGCGAACATTGTCTTGCCTTACATTCTCTACAGGGTGAGGTTTCAACAAAGGTGCGAACATTGTCTTGCCTTACATGCTACTGATGAGGTTCAACAGAGGTGCGAACATGGTCTTGCCTTAATTGCTACTGGTGAGGTGCGAACATTGTCTTGCCTTGCATTCTACTAGTGATGTTCAACAGAGGTGTGAACATGGTCTTGCCTTACCTGCTACTGGTGAGGGTGCGAACATTGTCTTGCCTTACTTGCTACTGGTGAGGTTCAACAGAGGTGTGAACATGGTCTTACCATACCTGCTACTGGTGAGGTTCAACAGAGGTGTGAACATTGTCTTGCCTTAATTGCTACTGACTGGTGAGGTTCAACAGAGGTGCGAACATTGTCTTTGCCTTACTTGCTACTGGTGAGGTTCAACAGAGGTGTCAACATTGTCTTGCCTTACATTCTACTGGTGAGGTTCAACAGAGGTGTGAACATGGTCTTGCCTTACCTGCTACTGGTGAGGGTGCGAACATTATCTTGCCTTACTTGCTACTGGCGAGGTTCAACAGAGGTGTGAACATTGTCTTGCCTTACATTCTACTGGTGAGGTTCAACAGAGGTGCGAACGTTGTCTTGCCTTACATGCTACTGGTGAGGTTCAACAAAGGTGCGAACATTTATCTTGCCCTTACATGCTACTGGTGAGGTTCAACAGAGGTGCGAACATTGTCTTGCCTTACATTCTACTGGTGAGGTTCAACAGAGGTGCGAACATTAATCTTGCCTTACCTGCTACTGGTGAGGTGCGAACATTGTCTTGCCTTACATGCTACTGGTGAGGAGGTTCAACAGAGGTGTGAACTGATTGTCTTGCCTGACCTGCTACTGGTGAGGTGCGAACATTATCTTGCCTGACCTGCTACTGGTGAGGTGCGAACATTGTCTTGCCTTACATGCTACTGGTGAGGTTCAACAGAGGTGCGAACATTGTCTTGCCTTACATGCTACTGGTGAGGAGTTCAACAAGGTGCGAAATTGTTTTGTCTTACCTGCTACTGGTGAGGTTCAACAAAGGTGCGAACATTGTCTTGCCTTTTACATTCTACTGGTGAGGTTCAACAAGGTGTGAACATTGTCTTGCCTTACATTCTACTGGTGAGGTTCAACAGAGGTGCGATCTTTGTCTTGCCTTACATTCTACTGGGGAAGTTCAACAGAGGTGTGAACATTGTCTTGCCTTACATTCTACTGGTGAGGGTTCAACAGAGGTGTGAACATGGTCTTCCCTTACATGCTACTGGTGAGGTTCAACAGAGGTGTGAACATTGTCTTGCCTTACATGTTACTGGTGAGGTTCAACAGAGGTGTGAACATTTGACATCTTGCCTTACATTCTACTGGTGAGGTTCAACAGAGGTGCGAACAATGTCTTTGCTACTTACATTCTACTGGGGTGAGGTTCAACAGAGGTGTGAACATTGTCTTGCCTTACATTCTACTGGTGAGGTGCAACAGAGGTGTGAACATGGTCTCTTGCCTTACCTGCTACTGGTGAGGTTCAACAGAGGTGCGAGAACATTGTCTTGCCTTACCTGCTACTGGTGAGGTTCAACAGAGGTGTGAACATTGTCTTGCCTTACATGCTACTGGTGAGGTTCAACAGAGGTGTGAACATGGTCTTACCATACCTGCTACTGGTGAGGTTCAACAGAGGTGTGAACATTGTCTTGCCTTACCCTGCTACTGGTGAGGTGCGAACATTGTCTTGCCTTACATGCTACTGGTGAGGTTCAACAGAGGTGTGAACATTGCCTTGCCTTACATTCTACTGGTGAGGTTCAACAGTGGTGTGAACATTGTCTTGCCTTACCTGCTACTGGTGAGGGTGCGAACATTGTAATCTTGCCTTACATGCTACTGGTGAGGTTCAACAGAGGTGCGAACATTGTCTTGCCTTACCTGCTACTGGTGAGGTTCAACAGAGGTGTGAACATTGTCTTGCCTTACATGCTACTGGTGAGGTTCAACAGAGGTGTGGACATTGTCTTGCCTTACATTCTACTAGTGAGGTTCAACAGAGGTGTGAACATTGTCTTGCCTTACCTGCTACTGGTGAGGTGCGAACGTTAATCTTGCCTTACATGCTACTGGTGAGGTTCAACAGAGGTGTGAACATTGTCTTGCCTTTACATGCTACTGGTGAGGTTCAACAGAGGTGTGAGACATAGTCTTGCCCTTACATTCTACTGGTGAGGTTCAACAGAGGTGTGAACATTGTCTTCCTTACCTG